CATAAAATTGAGCCTATAGTTCCTTTGCCGTTTTAGCATTAAGCCAAATGGCATAGAATCTAGCTCATCTGTTTATCAACCGCAAGCGCCGCAAAAGAACTGTAAAAGAAGCCTCGCACCCTTCAGAGGTATTTGGACTACAGCTCCCATCAGCCCCTATCAGGAGATGGGAGGTGTAGCGCAACACCTTTAGAAGGCGCTGTTCTACTAGAAAAATAGGGCAAAGCACTCCTCCGATCCTGCACTGAAACTACAAGGCTGAAATCTGCAAACACACATGTGACTCGATCGGTACTCTGCAAGCAAGAAGCCGCTTTGTAATAACCCGCCTTAAGCAACTCCTGGTAGATGTACTTCATTTTTACCGATTGCGCAGGCGCATGCGAAAAAGTGGCCGCGGACGATTATGACATCAATGTAAGAAGACGAAATGTGACTCTTTCCTGCCAAATGCCACAGAGCTATACAATGTGCAGACATACACAATGGGCAACTTCGGGGTTTACTTAGGGCACCGATTGCGGTCTCCCTGAAGCAGAACGAACGAACGAACCGCAGAGGGATTCAAGCTTCACCCACGGCGTTGACTGCTATCTATTTGAGGACTGTTTCAAGTGAAAAATTAAAAGCACATATTTTTGTAAGGCGATTGCATACATATTACTATGTCGGATTATATAGAAAAAACGCCGATAACTGCCTGTATTTCAGTCAGTAATGCTGGTGGGGAGTATTGGTGGTACAAGACTTTTGGGGAGGCTAAACATTCATAGGATGACGTTTTGAATGAAGCGCGATGCTTTTGCATAAAACAGAACGCAGGATTTGGGAACAATATAAGTAACCCTTTAGGGCAAGCTAAGGGATGTCTGAAGTGACATTTTGGCCTGGAAATTCAAACCAACCTCTTTTGCTTTTCCAACTCGCAAAACTAAGGATGGACAGCATTCCAGGATTGCTGTAAAATGCTTTTTTAAAAACCCGCAAAGACCAATACTTCCACTTGCAGAAGGAAAGAGGGGAAATATAAAGGAATCGAAAGTTCTTATTCCAAGTAATTATAGTTCACAATAGCTCTAATGAAGTAGACTGTAATCCACGAAAGCTCAAGCTTGCCTTCCCCAGCCCGCTGTCCTCTAGATGTGCTGAGCAGCAACCCTCATAATTTCCAGTCCAACATATCTGAACGGAAGGTTGGTTTATACCATCCTAAACTGGTTAAGCACAATCCTATGCAAGTTTAGACCACAAAAATGAAACATCCTACAATTCTCAGCATTCCTATGCTGGCCAGGCATGCTGGGAGCTGTAGACTTTTTTTTAAAGCTGTCTAAATTTGCATAAGATCGTGCTTAACCAGTTTAGATCGCGTCCTCATTCATTAAAGTGCCCGATGACTCTGCTGCCAGACTTTGCTACCTTGGAGACCGTTCCCGGGGAAAACGGAGCACGTGCTGCCGGAAGCTCCTCTTCCGGGAGAGGGCGGGGCTAGAGGGGAAACCGCGGGGATCGCCGTGACGTCAGAGAAAAAGGAAGCGAATACCGAAAGTAACTGGTTTTCGGGGCTGCGGGCGCCGCCTGGGCCGGGGAAGAGCGGGCGGGCGAGGGGAGCAGTTCGCCCTCCTTTTGGCTGGCCATGGACGCCGCGGCGCTGGAGCAGGACGCGGTGAAGTTCGCGCAGCTGGCGGTTCAGCGGGACCAAGGCGGCCGCTACCACGAGGCGGCTTTTTATTACAAGGTGTTGTTGTTGTTGTTGTTGCATTACGTGGGGCAGGCTTGGTTCTTTCCCCCGATTTCGCCTAAGGGGAGCCCCCCAGGCACGCGTTAGGAACGGGGCTGGGCAGCGGGAGGATGACCTCCTTAGAGAACTAGCGCTCCTGGCTTTTCAAGCGGCCGCTGTTTTGAATTAACGAGAGCGGATGGAGCATTTTATTCATAGGGTACGACGGAGATTACCGGGTAGACAGACGCGAGCAGGATCAACCTGTATTTTCTCGGTTTTGTTGCACTGCGGTTTTTGAATTTACTTCCTTCCTCTTTGGAGGCTCGCTAGAGTTGGAGCCTGTGCCGCTTTTGCCTGGCAGTAGCTTTGGATAAGGATACGGTAGTGAAGGATAAGGTTGGGACCCTTAACAAAAGATCTGTACCCTGCCTTTTTCATGATCAGCCTGCACCTGCAGCTCTGTGCTCAAGGTCTGATCCCAATTTCCCTTTCCATCTGTTGATTATACCTTGCTTTTAAAAGGGTACACAGGTCACATGTATAGCATTTGTTTATCTTATTACAAAACAGTTGATCTCTATATATAACTGCTGCAAAGGCAATCGTGCCCCTAGTTCAGGATGCTGATTTTGATCTGGAAGGCCCCAAATCACTTACCATAGTGATTATATCCTTCCTTGTGTTTCTGTGTGAACCCAAACTCTGACTAAGTAGCATCTGTGTAGGAAAGGTGACTGATTGCAGCATAGGCAAATGTATTCTCAGTGGTTTCTTCTCACTAAAGACACACTCTTTCCCCAGAGCTCATCAGACTGGAGCATTGCAAAACTTACTTGGCTGAGTAGTGACCGAAGTTGTCTAGAAAGCCATGAGTGCCTAGACAGAAGGTCAATTGCCCCTTCCTGTGTGAGCCAGACCCTCCTGAATTTCCCACCCCATTTTTAAAAAGTGTCCAGCCATGATTTTATCCATCTGCTTTTTAAAACCAAACAGCTTGCTTCAGCCTTTCCTGTTTTTGATAAATTTAGTCATCTCAACTCTTGAGACACTTGCTGTACAAAACAAGGCACTCCCTGTGCACCAGCAAATTGGGAGGGCAAGTTAGAGCCCAAAAAAGATCAATGGGGCTATGCACTGGCTGTGTAGAATGTAATAAAGAACCTGTATTTGCAAGATAGGACATTCCTTAGGTAAAAGTGCATTTGTTGGTAAAAGTGTTTCTTTTTTAATGGAAGTGCTTAAGTTAAACAGATTTTAGTTCTGTCCATTCATACCTGTGCTTCAATGCAACCTTGTGTATGCTTGCTTGGAAGTAATTTCCACTGGTTTTATAGGGATGTCGTGCCTGGAGAGTAAGTCCCTATGTTGGTAGGTCAGTAGCTGTAGGGCACAATCCAGTGCCATCTGCACTCGATTCACATAAGCCTCCAAGCAGGGAAGCTTAACATGCATAAGGCATGGCAGTGACAGTTTCTGTCACCCTGTAGTTTGCACCTTGCAGTTCATCTGAATGGGAGTTTCCGGCTGTCTAATGGAAGTGCCATGGATATGGAGGGAGGGGAGAGGGAGGGAAGGAAGATGGGGTGTCATGTGAATCCAGGATAAACTCCATGCTCCACTCATGCCCATTTGCTGTTTCTCCAGGCTGATTTCTGACTTCAGAGAGGCAGCCAGCATGGTTCTTTCTGTGCCAGCTGCTAGGACTGTGCGCATGTGTGGAGTAGGGACATGCCATTCAGAGTCCCAGCTCCAAGGTTGCAGGGCCTCCAAGCTGCATCTCTGAATAATCCTGTGGCCACCCAGACAATGCCTGGAGGCTGTCGGATTGCATCCCTAATCCTTATGGCACCATAGTGCACTGATTAGAGCCAGCTTATTAACTGCAGTGATAGACTAGTCCTTGGAACACCCAGATTCGAATCCCTGGTTAGCTTTGAAGAGATGTAATTCTGAGTTGGGCTAGAAGGAGGGAGAAGCAGCTTCTTATATAAAACATCCTTGTTGCATACCTGGAAGCCATTCTTAATTTGAACACAGACTTGTAGCAGGGATAAACCTACTGTACATAAAATGTTCTGTTATTTTCACTGCATAGTTCTCATGAAATGGTATTTAAATTATATATAGAAAAGTAGATATATGTTTCATACAGTAAGCTATTTTATTTCTGTTGCACAGTCCCATATATGTCGCCCACAGAATATTTGAGATATTTGCCTGAATTTGGCTTTCAGGGGGGACTCAAAACATTCAATAGATCTTTTATTGAATTGGGTGGATTAAATCCAATAACTGGGTTATCAAACTTAATCATTTAATACCTTTTAGTTATTTTCAAATTGCAGATATCAAATACCACAAGTATTTTAAAAATGTGGTTCAGCTTGTTATTAGGAAGCTACAAAGGGTGTGGTTATAATTCTGAAAGCTAAGTTTGGTCCTGTATAACTGTACCTAATGTGTGCTGTACATACAGCCATTCTTTTCCGCTTTTTGCTGTATATTTAGATTTCCTGGTTCTTTTAGGCTGAATATGGTGACTGTCCTGTGCTTTCAGACCATACTCTCACCTGTGTGTTGGGAAAAGGAAGGATTATCATCTTTCTGCTCAAGCAGCCTTGGTGCAAAGTTAAGTTCAATTTGCACCTGGAAGTTGCGATTCTAATCACATATGCCTGGCATCTGCAAAACTCCGAGTTGAGGCAGTGAATCATCAATCATACAGTTGGAAGAAAGCCTAGAACGCCATTGGGTTCAACCACCTGCTCAGTGTAGAACTCAAGTCTCCCATCCAGATTCTTAAGGGCTGACCCTGCTTAGCTTCCAAACTTAGGAAGGATCAAGCACTTTCAGGCTATATAGTGGGTCTTAACAGCATTTGAAACCTCAAATGTGTAGCTACCTGCTTTTCCCCCTTCCTCTCTATCCCACTGTGTTCAACATCAACCCTGAAGAAAAGTTCTGAAGAAGTTAAAAGTTTGCTCACTGTTTTGTGACAGTTGATTGACTTTTATAAAATTATTCCTTTGAGCTCTTTGACAGGGTTTGAGGAGACTGCACACTAAGGTATTTCTCCACTTACCACACCTACTTATAGAGGAAGTTAAAAATGAAACCTACCAAAAAACGTAGTATTTGCATTATATTTCTCTCTCCAGGAAGCTGCACAGGCTTTGATTTATGCTGCGATGGCAGGATCAACCTTAGAAAATATTCCGGGGAAAATAAGTGAATATCTGGAAAGGGTTCAAGCCCTTTACTCAGCAGGTTAGTGATAAAGCAAAAACAAACAAGATCTTTTCCGCCTTAATTAGGGAAATAAAGAGTGACCTCGGTAGCACAGTCTTCCCAAACTGGTAACCTCTAGATGTACTAAAAGATACAGGATGATGGCTGTTCTGTCAAGAATATCCATAGATACCATGTTGGGAAAGGCTGCAGCAGGGATACTCTCCAGTGTTCAAAACTCCAGTCCTTCATCAAAGGAATTAAAGTCTTGTGTAAAGTGTATGCACTGTGAAAATGCCATCGGCTTGATAGCTAAATATAAAATTTGCATACTAGTACTGTGTTATGTCTTAACTGTAAAAGTATAGGAATTTTGTTATATATGAAGGGGGTTTTAAAGTAAAAAGCAAACTACAGGCTGTTTGCTCTAGCAGACAAAAGTGTATTAGTTTCTCCATTTATAGTGCCATGCATTGTGTTTTCAAAGAGTCATAGTTAAACCCATCTTAGTCAAAGAATCACCAACTGCTTTGCTGGGCAGTGTGAGTAGTTGGTCTCTCCAAGTCCTTCAAAAGGGTTGGACTGCAGCTCCCATTCCCCTAAAGTCAGCACAGCCAAGTTGTCTGGGAGATAACAGGAGCTGTAATCCCACCCATCCCGAAGTCCCCAGCTTTGAGAAAATTAGAGCAGGAGGTCTTATGGTCGCTCACAAAAATCCATATTATTGAAATTATTGTTGAACATGCTATTCTTTCGTAGTACCCTATTTACTGACTAACTGCTGTAATAATAATCTTGATCCAGTCCAGTCACAGAAAGTTGACCCCTTGAAGTCAAAACAGCAGTTGGACTTGGAACGCGCCCATTTCCTGGTTACCCAAGCTTTTGATGAAGATGAAAAAGGCAATGGAGAAGAAGCAATAGAGCTGTACACAGAAGCGGTGGAACTCTGTTTGAAAACAGTATGTTAAGCTACAACTTAACTTGGTGGAATTATGTTATGGTAAGAAATTCTTCCATTCTTGCTGGCAACTGAAATGCAAGGTGTGTACACACATCAGGTTTTAGTTTTGGAGCCTTGAATATGCCGTACTTGGCTCAATAGAACATGAGAAGAAGTCCATGGAAGGGAATAGAGAAGATAGTTTTCCTTTTTATGAGTTAGTGAAACATTTACTTACTTATTTATTTACTTATTTATTTGGTAAATTTCTATGCCGCCCCATTCGCTGAAGCCTCGGGGCGGCTCACAGACATAAATAAACTTCAATAGAATAATATAAATTAACAGTATAAATTAAGTCGCCCTGGCCAAAGAATAAAATAAATAAATACTATTAACAGTTAAAATGACATTTGAATAAAAAGGTCTTCGCCTGGCGCCGAAAAACAAATAACAACGGTGCCAGGCGGACCTCTTTGGCGAGCGCATTCCATAGATTGGGCGCCACCGCAGAGAAAGCCCTCCTCCGAGTACTCACCCTCCTAATTTCCTTCACGGAGGGTTCCCGGAGAAGGGTCTCTCCTGCAGATCTCAGGGGGCGGGCGGGCAAATATGGACGTAAGCGCTCCTTCAGGTAACCAGGACCCAAGCCGTTAAGGACTTTATAGGTCATCACCAACACCTTGAATTGGGCCCGGACTTCAGTGGGAAGCCAGTGAAGCTGATGGAGAACTGGAGTCATGTGAACATAATGCCCAGTCCCCGTCAGCAGCCTCGCAGCTCTATTTTGAACCAATTGAAGTATCCGGACCGTCTTCAACGGTAGCCCCACATAGAGCATGTTACAAAAGTCAAGTCGAGAAGTCACCAACGCGTATGTCACTGTCGCCAGGCAGTCGTACTCCAGGTAGGGGCGCAGCTGCTGGATCAGCCGAAGCTGAAAGAAAGCGCTCCTCACCACCGCTGTCACCTGAGCTTCCAGTGAAAGCTCTGGGTCAAGGAGCACTCCCAAGCTGCGGACCTTGTCCCTAGGAGGGAGTGCAACCCCATTCAGGACTAGGTTCAATTCACCCTCCCCGAAGCCCGATCCGCCAACCAACAGGACCTCCGTCTTGTCTGGATTGAGCTTTTTTGGCTATGCTGCCAACCAGTGTCACTTAACAGAAGGGCAATGGAGAAGAAGGAAAACGCACTAAAGGAAAACGTGATGTGTATGCACACCCTATGGCACTGCCTTAAAAAGTGGTACCTGTATTTCTTTTAGGAGGGGGTATCTTTTTCCCCCTTTTCCTCAGCTTGCCTTTCTATTGAAACTTTGCACTGAAAGGCATATATTGTGTGCATGTGTTCCACTTATTTTATTGAAGATGTTCTTCCAATTACTGCAGGAACTTTCCCATGTGAATAGGCTCCCTACACTAAATCAAACTGCAGTAGGAATAGGTGCTAGAGAATGGGGGAGAGGATTTGGACTCCCTTCCCCTTTTTTTTCTTGACAACCTCTGCATTTGTTCTTCTGTCGTCCAGAAATAAAAGCTAAGAGGTAAAGTCAAACTAGTTGCAATTAGTTCCTGTTGAAATCAAAGGTATTTTACTGATGGCATGACAAACTTGTCCCACTGGTTTCTGTTTTCCTGAACCCAATGAGGTGGTTATATATGACTACTCCAAAGTAAGCCCGTTTGAGTTCAGTGAGGCTTATGCCCATATAGGTGCAGGCATAGATTGCAGCCTCAGTTTGACTCCTGCTGCAATTCGTTTAGGAGTTTCAGGTACCACTTTTTAATACTAGTAAGGCCAGTAGCTAAAACTTAATAGAGGAAGAGCTCACCATCATGATGTAACTCCACCAAGTATGATTATTTCTTTTCTTCTCTTTTCTTGAAATACAGAGAATATTTGAGAAGGGCAACATGGAAAATGCCTTGGTACACAGGAGACATAGGGTTAATTAAGCTTCATTTTAAGTCTTTCCTTGAATTGGCTGAAACTCTTATCTCTGCTTTAGTGCCATTGTAAGTCTGCTTCATTCATTAGCTTCAAAAATGGTGCTATGTGTAGATTTGAATATTTTCTTATTCTCCTGGATTTCTGTAGCAATATTGCATATGTGCAGGGGTGCTATATAATAAATGGATACACCAACCTGCGATTTCATCTTGATCCATCTAGGAGCTTTAAAGGTGTTTGTGCATAATTTACCCTGCCCTTAATGAAGAATCCCCCATGTAAATGGTGCTGCCATTTCTCTTCCTGACCCAGGATTAGTGTATGTAGGATTAGCATATGTAGTCCTAAACAAAGCACAGAACCCACCAGCTGGCTGCTCGTGAGGGAGAATAGTGAGCTGGATTGCATATCTTTCCCCTCAGCACCTGAGCCCATTGTGTGCAGCGCGCCATGTACCATCTGCCTCAAGACTACAAACAGCCATGAAGTCAAGGATTTGTTTGGCTCTGGGGAAGAAGCAGCTTCTCCCTGCAATGGCCAGCTCCCTTTCTGCATGCTGAGGGAAGCATGGAGTTCTGTGCATCCTTCACTACAGAGGAAAGTAAAACAGGCAGGGCTCATGTATCAGTGGTGTGACTGTACCCTACAATTTGCTCCCCCCACCCTTCTTAAAGTAGCTTCTTAACCCTGGACTGTAACACTGAGCTTAAGGCTGCATTCAGACAATCATATCTTGGATTAATAAGCTGAGAGAAGAGTACACTCTTTCGCTTGCACACATAGCTTCCATGTGTCATCTTTAATTAACTGTAGTTGCCCAGTTTATACAAACCAGTTATCAACTTTAGAGCAAGCAAGGATATTAAAAGATGTTTGGGAGCTGGTTTAATATCTTGGCTTGTTCTGAACATGGTAATCATTTCCCTGTTTCATTTAAGCTGGGAAGCTGAGCGTAATTAGGGACTTTAATTAGGGAAATTCATCAGGAAAGTGGATGAATTTCATTGCTTATACTTCAAAGATCCTGCATGCATGAGTAAAATATATTAGTTCAGAATATTAAGGGAAGATGTGAGTCTGACTCAACTCAGTAGATTTTAACTTTTGTTCTTAGCTGTTACCATGTATCATCTTCTGTCCACACTGAAGTAATTGCATTTGATCCACTGTTAAGTGAGAAAGCACAAATAATAGCATTGTGAAAGCAACATGACTGCTGTAAGTAGTCACACTATGCATAGGAGGTGCTGATATCTACAGACGGTAGAAATAGATCTTGATTTCTGTATGTGTAATGTTAGATCAATAGCCTGGCTTTTTCATCTTTAAAATTTAAATATTCAAAGGCTAGTGAAACTACAGAGACAGTTCTTCAAACAAAACTGATGCAGCTAGCTCGGCAGGCACTGGACAGGTAAGCTTCTCAACGTTTTGTCCAAGTGAAAGTTTTCGCTGCTTCGTCTCTGTCAGACTCCATTGAAAGTCACAAGAAGCCCTTTGCAACTTTTTCCACACAGCCCTTGAAATTATAATCGCCCATGCACCCAGTATTCTGTGGTTTTCCTAATCCCTTTAAATAAAGAATTCTCATTAAAAATAAGAGTTCAACTTAACATTTACAAGGATATCCTGGAAATTACGTGAACATCCTTTACTAGCTTTAGAGAATTCCCTTCTGTGCAGTTATTTGCTTATTTAAGTCAGCTGTCTTGTGTGACTGCTACAATTCTAATGGTACTTGGGAGGTTTGGGGCCTAAAACTGGTCTGTGGTGTGCAGTGAAGGGATGATGTCCAGCGACCTACTGGTTCTCTCCTGTTCTTTAGTATCTGTCTTTAAGTGTCAATGGTAATAATAATGGTAATATATATTTTGGAAGTTTGGAAGTAAAAATACTGACTGTTCTGAACTAAAAAAGGAAAGATTGAGCAGTCTTCCTAATATGAAAGCTGTATAAGCACCTTTCACTTTATATGGTTCTTTAAAAACAATGACTCATACAATCCCAGGCAGACTTAAGAAGTAAAAACAAAGTTCGCATAATTTTGTCGGTTGAATCCTAATCTTAAAAATATTAACATCTTAATCCTGAAGATTTGAACTTCCAAGCAACTTTGCAGTGGAAAATTTGCAAAGACTAGTGTAGATAATGCACAATGGACTTATTTACAAAGTTGGTAAACTTCCCGGTCATTGTGTTGGTGGAAGGGCAAGAGTCTGTCTCAATGCCAGGTGTGTCTGAGGTGAGAGAGCATAGATGAAATTGTGGAGCATATTCTGCTTGCTTCTGCCTTATACTAGGATTTTAGAATCCCTGAACCTTGCAAAATAATTGTGACAATTTAGCAATGCTTAATGGATTTAATACATGCAGCAAATCATAAAGATGCAAATGAGTAAGAATTAAGCCATGAAGCTTGTCAGGTTTAAAATGAAAGACGTTTGTTTTAGGGCTGAGGCACTAAAAGACTCAAAGCCATCTCAGAAAGAGAAGCCAGCAGCAGTGAAACCAACTCACCCCACGAGGACTTTCTTTCCTTTGGGACCTGACTTTTCCTTGAATGATAAGCCACAAACAGTCAGGCCTGTGCATGCCAGTGAACCTCAAGGTCAGCGATACACTGCAGAGGAGATTGAGGTACTCAGGTAAGGGAGAGAACATACATTTGTAGGTGCTGCTACTTGTGTGTCCAATGTGCTTTCCTTTCATATCTTACATTTCTGTGCCACCCCGTAGCCCATCGTTTAACACCTTAGAAATGTGATATTGTAATAAAATAAAAGGCTTTTCAGATAAAGTGGATAAATATATATGAACTCACACCTGCATATTTATACCATTTTAACTATCCGCAATGAGACATCTGATGCTGCCCAGTGCCTGAGAGAAGAAGAAGAGCATAGCCTGGCGCTGAAACCATTACAGTGCTGGTGCCAGGGAAGGCTCATGGAGGAGATCTTTCTATAATCAGAGGGCCACCATTGAGACATCCTCCTCCCTAGTTGTTACCCTTGAAGTCTCCCTCAAAGGAGGTACTCAGAGGATTGCCTAACTTAGCCTGCAATCCTTTGTACACTTCATAATAATCTCTGTAAAAATAGGAGTTAGGGAACCCGGTGGGCTTCAAAAGAGGTTTCCACAGTTGCTTGGATGCCTGAGAATACCCCACTGGAGATCCAAGCACTAGATGTTTCCATACTCAGACTGGGTCACCCATCATTTAGTACAAAGGCTTAATTTAAAAACTGTGACAGCAAAAATTGAGTTCAGGATCAGATGGTGTGTTGGTGCTGGTTCTTTTGGTGTTCATGGTTACAGCCTCTTTCAATTTCATTAATGAAAGAAATTTAAGTATCACGGCAATGTTTTGAGCAAGGAAATGTAGATTCTACTCAGCAAATGAAGACATTTTTAACCTCTTACCATCTCCCAAGCAAGTAGTGCTTTGTTATATGTTCTATCACATTTCTAAATTTTCTCTGTACCCCGAAGGCTAGAATTCATGCTTATGAAAAAATCTGAGAACATTAACTGTGCAAACAAAGCTTTTAATACAAAACTGAAGGAAGACATGTCAATCTCTAACTGAGGAAATCCGCTTTGTTTAGTTCAGATTTTCCTACTAAGGTACTGCTTAGCCAAGGTACTACAAAGGTAGATTTATTTCATGGTGAGAAGCAGATGGTATTGATTGTGCTTTTGCCATTTGCATTTTGTCTTAATAGGAAGACATCAAAGATAAATGGCATTGAATATGTTCCTTTCATGAGTGTTGACCTGAGAGAGCGTTTTGCTTTTCCAGTACCTTTCTCGTAAGTGAACATTTTGTGTCTCTATTCACTGAAATGATTTTGTATCTCTTATGATTCTTAAGAGTTTTCACTGTCAGATGAACAATGATCAGCTTTCATCCTTGTTTAGAATGTGTGAAAAGGAAAATCCATTGACAGCTGATCGTCACACATGAATTAATTAAATTCTAAACCACCAAATTGTACAGTAATCATGTGTTTTTCATCTGTTGTTCTAATCCTAAGCTCTTGTTCGCTGCTATGAAAGTTAGCAGAGAAGGTGCTTACAAAGTCATGGATTGATGATACACCCAGCTTCAAATTAAGAGAAACATCTGACTGTAGCAGATGTTGAGGCTAAATAATGGTGAACATGGACCTCAACATGTACAAATAGGGAACTGGAAATCTATAATAAGCTAAGTGCAGGGATCTAATGGGTCTCTTCATCCCTGACTGATCATTCTGAAAGAAGCTGGAAGAAACTTCATTTTTAAGGATTCAAAAATCTGTTCATGCCTGCTGAAATTACATATCTTGTAAAGTACCATCTGCCACACACTGGCTTTATGGATCTTGTGAATATGGTATCATGTGCAAGTTACCTGAGCAACTTTTCCAGAACCTTTCTTCCAAATGAATATAAATTGTCTTGACTGTGTGCTCTCTGAAATTCTTTCTGCATATCTTAAAATTCTCTTAAGCTTCTCTAAGTGATGCAGTCTCCCTCATACTCAAGGCTCTTGGGGAGAGATGTTCAGCTGAAAAGGCTGGATGGTGGAGGAATGTGGACTCAAAAACTCACTCGTCTTCCTGGAAAAGTCATTCTTGAGCAACAGATAGCAAAAAAGCTCAATGAGAGAGCCACATTATCCTGTGGCTTGCGAGATCTGTGTGCAAGTAGCCTGGAAGAAAAAAACCAAAATTGTGGTCACAATCTTCAACCTGGTACCCTCCAGATTTAGGAGAGTGCAATTCCTGGCATTCATAAACATAGCCATGCTACATGGGACTGAAAAAAGTTTGTCCAAGACATATATAGAGGGTACCAGATTTGGGAAGGTTTTCATATAGTCCAGGATTCTGCCTTGGTTGTTGGTAACAAAGTCTAAGTCAGTGATGGTGAACCTTTTAGAGACCAAGTGCCCAAACTGCAACCCAAAACCCACTTATTTATCGCAAAGTGCCAACACTGCAATAAAACCTGAATACTGAGGTTTTAGTTTAGGAAAAAACCTCATAGCCAGTCCAAGCACCTCTCTCTCTCTCTCTCTCTCTCTCTCTCTCTCTCGGTCTCTCTGTCTCTCTGTCTCTCTGTCTCTGTCTCTGTCTCTGTCTCTGTCTCTGTCTCTCTCATCGCCTGGCACCGCTACTCCTTTCCGAGCATGCACATGGCTCCTATGTGCGCTGTTATCCGATGCTTGGCTGCTGGGGCGATGCTGGGCAACTTGGCTCGCATGCCAACAGAGAGGGCTCTGTGTGCCCACTGCAGCACACGTGCCATAGGTTCGCCACCACTGGTCTAAGTAGTCCGCAGGGGTCAGTGTTGGGGCAGGCAGTCTGTACCTTAAGGTAAGAGTCTAGGTAAAGTTGGCCAAGAGCTGCAGGTAGAATACTAAAAGCCAGAGGAAACAGGAATAGGAAGGACAAAGGATAACTTGTCTCAGGAGTTTAATAGGTAGACAAAAATATTTGGGATTTTTGCATTTCCTGAAAAATGAAGTATGATGAAATGATTTTATGATGTATGATTTTTTATGCATGTTTTTGATTTTAGAGATAAATGTGGGAAGTTGCCGTTGTCTCCCAAGCAAAAAGCAATGTTTGCCCGATGGGTACGGCCTGATGACATAACCAACAATCCCACCATGATCTACACTGTGTCAAGCTTCAGCATAAAACAGGTAATGGAGTTTCAGGTCCAGCTTTTCTTCCTGTCTGTATATGTCAATTGTCAACAGTAAGACTAAGCAGAGACCTTTTAGTTCTCCCTTAAAATCTGGAGCATACTATTTCTTCTGTCTATTTGGTTTTCATAGGTTTTGTAGACTGGTTTTAAACCATTTACTCACAAGTAATTCCTAATTGGTTTCTTCCTAGGAGCTTGCTTATAGTTGCATAGAACAAAAAGGAATCCAAAGCTGAATAAGAGCTTTGACACCGTGGCTGCCTGTGCATGGCATTTTCACTGTCAGAAAAAGCAGGCTATTGTATTTGCTTTTGCCCTTCCTTGCCCTCTCCCACTCCCTCCTGAGACCAACAGCTAGCTGTGCTTGCTCAGCACCTCTCTTTTAGCCTCCCTGGCATAATATGTCAATTATTCTTGGTGTCATAGTTCAGGGATCAGAACCATCATTTCATTTGCAGTCACTAACACAATAAAGCCTATTGAATTGAGGAACATATAGGAATGACATGTATTTTTATGTTGTTGTTTTATCGTCCCGTGATTTGATTCTGATTTTAGCAGCAGATAACTTTTATCTCATTTAATTATGTATCATTTTACCTTATCTTCATTTAAGGGTATTTTCATTGGTTTAATATATTGGGTGTTTAATTTTATGTCCCCCCTCTTCATCTCTCATCTCACCTCATTTCATTATATCTTAATCTTATCTTGTCTTTGGCTTGTTTTATTATTTATTGATTTTATTCTTGTTGGTTTTTATATTTTATTGTGAGAGGTTAAATGTATTGTGCATTGCACAGTTTTAATTGTGTAACATGCTGTGAGCAGCCAAGAGAGTCTTATGGCTAATGGGGCAGCATACAAGTCAAATAAATGAACAAATAAATGACAGAAGCTTTAGGGGAAAATAAACCAGTGACTGCATCTTGTTTGTTAAAATACATGGAGAATAGTGTGGCGAATGAATTTGATTTTAACAAAGGATCTAAGTTTCCATATCCTATTGCTAGAAATGACAACCAAGAACTTTACTTTTCATACTATGGAAACAGACTTTTGGATGAGGTTATCTGGCTTTTTGGGAAGCTAATTTTCAGTTCATTTTCTTTGAAATGGATCAGAATTCATATAATTTCAAAATCCATATTAGTGTAATATCTTTACTAGCCCAACTCAGAGTTCACAAAAAATCTGCAAGCTTCCAAGATTATCTTTTTCTTTTTATCAGCCAAATGTTTTTTTATCAGCCAAATAACTTTTTATCAGCCAAATGTTACAAAAAGTAATCTGAGAATTGGGGGGCAGAATAGGAAGGTAGGACAAAACTGACTTGATGTCAGGCACTGATTGGATCCCCACAATCAGGGGCAATACACTGCAGTGGCTTCCCCACATACAGGATAGCACATGCTGACCACATGCTGGGAGGATTAGCATAATTACCTTCAGCAGTGAGATTTGTTTTCTTATGCAAATTTGGCCAGCATGGATTGTTGCCAGGGGTAACAAGCTCCCCCAAACCCTCCTACAGCCCAAAGATTCTGAATGTCTTTTACCCCCAGTAGCAACTCACACTCAGGCTTTGCATGATGTGACAACCTGTACTGCTGAGGATAATTATGTGAATTATGTGAACCCTGCAGCACACATGGGGAGTGAGTGGAATAAGTCTCCGGGGCTAATTTCCCATGATGTTGCATGGTTGGAGACTTAAGATGGAGTGAGGGGAGGAAGGTTTGCAGGCATTACCAATTAGCCTCCACCAGGTGATGTGATGGTTCCTTCTTTCATCCAGATCTGCCCCTGGGACCTATGAGAACAAAAAAGAAGCAATTGGTTAATCCCCGAATACCAAAAACATAAAATCTACCTCTTTTCAGAAATATTGTACATTTCCTATGAATTAAGGAAATGAGATTGTTTGCTTTTCTGAATCCTCTTTTTATTGGGCTATTATTCATTGGTATGCTCTTTTTACTCTTTTTTTCTTCAGACAATCGTGTCAGATTGTTCCTTTGTAGCCTCACTTGCTATCAGTGCAGCGTATGAAAGACGATACAACAAGAAATTGATTACTAGGTATGCTGTTATATTCTCTCAGATGCCTTGTAAGGATTTTCCCTGGTTTTATTATTTTACCTTTCTTTTCGAAATGTGTTGGAAATAACACACAACTGTGGCAAGAATGTGTTTTCTGCTTAGTTGAATGTGCTGTAGAAACCTACAACCCAGAGCTCTGGCTGGTAACAAATAAATGTATAGGATTCTGTACCATGTACCACCTTCTGGCCTGTGATTTTTGGCCTACCAGCATGTTGGTCTGTTGACCCATTTCCTGCATGTTGCAGAAGGCCTATCTAGGCCTGTGTGGTGTTTCTCTAGACCAGTGATGGTGAACCTTTTAGAGGCCGAGTGCCCAACCTGCAACCCAAAAATTTATTGTGAAGTGTTAACACTGCAATAAAACCTGAATACTGAGGTTTTAGTTTAGAAAAAACAACTCACAGCCAATCCAAGCAAATATATATATAAGCAAATATATATATTATATATATATAGCGCCTTGGCAGTGCACTGACCAGCCGTGTGAAAGCTCGGACAAGTCGCGGCTCGTGACATCATCACCTGGCACTGCTACTCCTTTCCAAGCATGCGCATGGCCCCTCTGTGCACTGTTATCCGATGCTCAGCTGCTGGAGCGATGCTGGGGCGACTTGGCTCGCATGCCAACAGAGAGGGCTCTGCATGCCCGCTGCAGCACACCTGCCATAGGTTCGCCACCACTGCTCTAGACCATTTAAAAAATGAATATGGATTGGTCCATCTCTCTTTTGTTCAAACTTCTAGAAGCCACCTCTAGGCATTGTTCCCTCATGTTTTAGTTTTCCATTAGAATGTTTGTAATTGTTCAATAAGAAAGTAGCTCTGGGCAAAATGGCCAGTGATGGATCTCAAAGGGGCAATAATGCTGGGTGGAGAGAAAGAAACATCTATATAATATATCTGATACAGTAATGAATTGTGGTTTGAAAGCACTTAGCTATCCATGTCTGAAGTCCAATGCTCACTTATTCAGGAATGAGCTCCTATGAGCATAATGGAACTTGGAACTTACTCCTGAGTAAGCAAGCATATGAAAGCATAGGCCAAGATTTATTTGGTTTGATCCAGAGAGGCATTAGTGCAGGGTTGTTAAACCACAGAACTCTCATTTAAATCTGGGCCACCCAGGACCCTAATCTGACCATCCAGAGTTCTTCGGGTAGCCACACACCCTTTTCCCTGACCACTTTTTTTGTGTCTACTCAGTTCTTGCATATCTTTTTAACACACACGATTCTAAAAGGTTGACATGCCGTTAATTATAGGCTTAATTATAAGTAGTAAATGCTTTTAAGCTCAAATATGTGGTTATTTTTTGGTGTATCTCATACTTTGGCCCCACCTCTTTTGCCTGTGGCTTTGCCCATAGGTGGAATGTAACCCCCCCCCCCCACTCACACAAACACAAGAGTTTCTCCAAAATTGGTTTTGGCCTTTGATTGAAGAGGTTTAGCACTCCTGTGCAGACGGGTGAAGCGAGTGAGAGAGCCGCCATTCTGTGAACTGCTCTGTAAGAGCTGGTGAAATGCATTGTGCGGCCTGCTGCGCACCTCTGGGTCACGTTGTGCTCATGTGCTCCTCAAGGTGCTAAGCAGAAGGTGTCACAGGGCCTTTTAGGAACTTTCTGTTCTCTTTTCCTCCATACTGTTGTTGCACTAAGCACCCAAGCCTTCTGCTCATGAAAGGACCCTTACTGGATCAAACCCATTTTTTGGAGTTCAGATTTTCAGAGGAGGATATCTGCATTTCTGTTCCTAAAAGTGAGACGCAGGCTGTGTTTGCTTTGAAAGCATCCTGAAGTAGAAGACTGGAGCCTTAAGCTATTGCAAAACAACAGCGAGACCTCACTTTAACCATATACATCTCATAATCCTGGTTTGCTAACACAATAATCATCTTTAATGTTGAACTGAATAATTTGGTCTTGCCTTCAGGGAAGGAGTTCAACAAAAAGGAGGTTGTCCCACAAATATTTTAAGGAAATGGCAGCAATTTGTATTAATTGTAATTTTGTTTGTTTCCTTTGTGTTCCACCCTTGGAGAGTTTTATTTATCCACATAAATCAGGCGAGTTCCCCTCTCAAATGAGAGTTAACACTAAGCTGCTTTCAATAACCACTGTTGTCTGGGCTGAGTGGACAAGGTTGGGTTGAGATGGGCTTGAGTTACTTTGCAGCATGCTTGTGGAATATATTCTGATTTGTTTTCCCTGATTTTTTCCTTCACGTAGCATCATTTACCCACAGAATAAAAAAGGAGAGCCAGAATATAATCCTTGTGGAAAGTACATGGTCAAACTGCATATCAATGGTGTCCCTAGGAAGGTGAGAAACTGATTGCTTACTAACTGTGCCAAGTCACTATATCCAGTGGTACTCTCTTATCTGATGATGTGTCAACTTGGCTGGCTTCTCTGGACCTTTCTGAGAGCCCCGGTTCCAAGCACAGCCACTACAGCCTTCTTGTTTTTTCTGTGTGGGCAATTACTCTCATTCTCTGCTTTGTCCAGGTGATCATTGATGACCTGCTACCAGTAGATCACAGTGGAGAGCTTCTCTGCTCTTACTCAAACAACAAAAATGAACTCTGGGTATCACTGATAGAAAAAGCGTATATGAAAGTAATGGGAGGTTACGATTTTCCAGGATCAAATTCTGTGAGTATCTGTTCTTGACACAGAGTAAATTTATATGCTGGCAAATTTCCTTGGTAGATGAGGCTTCCTATAGCTTAGGGTACAGAAAATAAAGCAGATCATTTGATATCCCCCCAAAATACACTCTTGTTTGTTCACTGGGCACATATGCTTTTCCCCACTTGGCAAACCCTTTCTGTTGGAATGAGTAATATTATTGTAGAAATGTTCTCAGCAATTGGGAAATAGCCTGACTTCATTTTAAGAATGAAGTTCTCACAACATAATGCATTTGGATACCTTAACTTGGAGCCCTTGGCTTTTATTACTATCATATTTTCAACTTAATCATTTCAGGCGTGAAGGGAAAAAAAGCTATTAAATTTACCAGCAAAAGAAAGAAGAAAAGGAACCGAGTCATAAGCAGCAGTTTAGTCTCATCTGAACCCTAATTCAAACATTTCTAGGGCTGATCCAAAATCCATGGTGCTTCCATTAAATAAGCTGGCTAACCTGCAAGCCCATTTATTGGTTTATGTATTTTAGGTCTTATAAATACACACAACACTAATGGTAGAAAAGTGACTTGCAAGGTGATAACATAGGTTTAGAAAATATTTCATGTATACCTGCATTGAAAAGAAATGAAGTCTGGAAGTTTCAGACCTGGAGCCATTATTGCTTAAATATTAACACAGTGTTTTTTCATGTATATGGTTTGCATTAGACCTCCATTTTTGTTTTGTTTATGAGATCTGCTTATGTTTCAGAATATTGATCTCCATGCATTGACTGGCTGGATACCTGAAAGGATGGCTATGCACTCAGACAATCAAGCTTTTAACAAAGACAATTTTTTCAGAATGCTTTATCAGAGGTAATTTTTTGGTCTAATTTGCAAGTGTCTCAGCACTCAGGTATTTTATCAGGCCTAGTTTCTGATTGCAATTTAGGATAAAAGGATGGATGATCAGAAGTTCTGGCTATGGCTACTGAAGATGGAAGATTTGGGGTTTTTGGGATGTTGTTTTTTCAATTTATATTAATAGGTTTAAAAAGCAAACACAAATTTGACAGACTTAGCTATACACTATCCTTATTTAGATTAAGGTTGAAGTGCCAAACATATTATAGAACTTCAAAAATGCCAGGATGTGAAATTGAGAATGTGTTACGTCTGACATTCAGTCTTTTTGCGTTTCAGATGCTTCACTCAGCTTTCCCCCAATATGGTGTCCTTCAGATGAGTTGGACTACAACTCCCAACATGCCCCATCCAGCATGACTAACTAGACCATAGTGGCAGCCAGGAGGATGCCAGGTTGAATGGGGCAGGCTGTCACAGCTAGGCTAGGATGCCCTCTGGAAAAGCTAGAAAATGGCTTAATTAGAAGTATCAGGTAGCGAATACTCCAGTGCTTCTAGAATTTGCTACAGTAGCTACAACCTCTCAGGGTAGTTCTTTGGTAGCTCTTTCACTCTTAACCATGGAAACTCGGAGTTACCAAGTATGCCATCATTTTGTTAATCTTTCCAGAATACCTTCTGCCTTTTCCCCCTCCAGAGCAGTAAATAAGAAATGTCAGTTACTCTTTTCATAAACAGAACCCTAAACTAAACTTTCTTGTTCTTTGTGGCCAGATTTCACAAAGGGGATGTACTTATTACAACAGCCACAGGAGTGATGACTGAAGAAGAAGGAGAAAGATGGGGTTTGGTGCCAACCCATGCCTATGCTGTTTTAGATATCAGGGAGTATAAGGTATTCACAAGACAGGTGTATGGAACATCTTTTTAAAATTGACAGGTTTCATTTGCAAATACAGCAATTTGGAACTGCTCAAAAGCAGCAGAGAGAAGTATCTTTCTCCAATCAGCTTTATCCAGATGTTCTGATAATTAAATGGTATTTAACATCTTCCATTCTTGGAAAGAAATGTACTAATGGAATATTACAGCTATTCTGTGTTTCTAGGGGCTTCGATTCATCCAGTTGAAAAATCCCTGGAGTCACCTACGCTGGAAAGGAAGATACAGTGAAAATGATAAGAAGAACTGGACCCCTGACCTCCAGAAATACTTAAACTTTGACCCCAGAACAGCACAGAAAATAGACAATGGTAAAGCAGCATTTTATGGGAAAGTTTGAACAAACATGAATACAAATGGCTCAGTGGTGGTCCCTTTGGAATAGAATTGAAGCTTGGGAAGGAGTGGGAGAATCCCATGTTTCACTAGTTCCTGGTGGTTTGGGAGCCAAGCATCCTGGCATTGTTGTGCATGAGGGGCAGTGGAAGACAGGAAGGTGTGAAGGTCCCTGGCAAAATAATTTGCACTGGTGGCTATTTGCAGGCTTCTGTTCCTGCGTATACTTAGGTGAGCCTAGAAACATATGCAAGGCTATCCATGAAACACAGTTGATTAGTACTGCAAATGTATTGTATTGCCCTATTATAATATGGGGCTTAGTTTCTGAGTAAATATACATTCAGATTGTTCTATGTAGCTCAGCATTTTGTCCGAATTGAGTTGTGGATTAGGTGCATCAGATTAATCAAGTCCACCAATGACTCTTAGGCATGTTAAGCTTTTGCAGAGTAACAGAAGAGAAAGACATGCACATGGACATGCACATGGTGGATGTGCACATGGTGGGCATGTCATGAGCGGAGCCGGCTGGTGCCGGAGGTCAGACTAGATGGCCCGGGAGGCCTCTTCTGACTCGCTCTGTTTCTATGTTTCTAAAACCTTTGGAAACTGGGCTGTAACTTGTTTTTATGCAATTGGATAACTCCTGTGAAGTCAGGCATATTGAAATGGTGAGGTGTCCAAGAGAAGTGATGGTCTTCATAGAGTGAGTTTCTGTAGGTTTAAAAAAATGGAATGCAATGCAATGCAACAAGTGATGAGAAGAAACTGATTCCATTTACCAGTGAGCAGACCACTGAAGAGGTATATCATTACAGAGGAAATCTGACCCAGTCCTCACTAGGATTCAGACAGCAATCATGCCTTCCTCAGCCTTGTGCATTCCAGCTACATTTGGACTGCAACACCCGGAATTGCCAGCCAGTGGCACTGCTGGATGGGAATTCTGGGAGTTGCGGTTGAACTGCTTCTGAAGGCCATCAAGCTGGGGGAGGCTGCTGTACATGTTTTTCTGGGAGGATGTTCGCTGATCTTGAACTCTCAACCCAGCCTATTTCACAGGCTTGTTGTGAGGATAAGATGAGGAGGAGGAGGAGGAGGAGAGTTATTTAAGCCACCTTAAGTTCTTTGAAAGGAAAACAAGTGGGATATAAATATAATAAAATAAGCATATGTGGGGCTGCACCATTTACATTCTCTTCCTCCCCATGCTTGTTTATTTCATGTCTTTAAGTTGCTGCCATACCTTTTGACAACCAGGATTTCCAGGCAGTTTGCATAAGAACACATATAATACAGTATATAAATCAGTATAAAAATTGTTTTGAGAATGTATCTTAAAAGAATACAACAAAGCAGCAGCTCCATAATTAGTTATATCAGGTAATAATGGTGATGTGTTGAATTTATGCCAAAACATTTTACAGGGCAAGTGTTTTTGATGCTACTTATTGATTTACTATAAATTCCCTGTACTCCTCAACTTACAGAACTTCCAAGGAAATTTGGAAGCTTTTATTATTACTGACTCTTGTCATTCTCATGCATGTATGTTAAAAGCAGCCTGTTGAGAACCCTAATTGCATTTCTCACCATCATATTTTCCTTCTTGTAGGAATTTTCTGGATGGCCTGGGAAGACCTGTGCAAGTATTTTGATGTTATTTATCTGAGCTGGAATCCAGGTCTCTTTAAAGAATCAACATGTATTCACAGGTTTGTTCCCGAGAGAAAGGGATGGAGTGGTTTTATGCAAATGGGTTCAGCTTCACATGGGTGGACGAATCTTGCTCATTGGATGCAACAGGCTGCATGTAAATAAGAGCTTTACTGGGACTCAGGAGATCCAGGTTCAGTTCTCCCCCAACCTCAAAACTCATTGAGCTGTTTTGGGTCTGTCATCAGCTCTCAGCCGAGCTACCTCAAGAATGCTTGTGAGAATAAAGTGGAGAGGATACTGCTTTGGGCTCTTGGGGGAGAAGGCAGAATTTAAGCATAACTTACAGACAGTGGTTTCCATGTCTGAGTTGAAGCCATGGCTCCATTCCCCTGAGGGAGCTACCCCAGAGCACTGGAAAACTCTGCCCCTCAGCTGCCTAACTTCCCCTGGCTTCCAAACCAGCATGGGGTGTTTGTTAGAGAAGTCTGCCCTTTGTGGCTGAAGATTTCACTCCAGCAAAACGCATTCAAATTAATTACACTTAATGCATTTTAGAAATAAAATAACCACAAGGGGCATACCCTTGTTCCCCCTTAGTATGTGTGCCAAGGATCACAGATAAAGGTTTGATAATGTGGGCAGTATTAGGTGATGGATGAATGTGTATCCTTTTAACAATAAATGATAAAATAGAAACAATAAAATAGAGATTACAGTGAATGTCATAAAGGGAGAAATTGTCCCTGAAGAAATGTTACAGTCTGACACAAAAGGAAAATAGTTAGATAGATTCATTTTTATTCTCCCGGGTTTCAGTATACAATCTCACTTTCAAAGGAAAGAGAAAAACATTCCTCTCCTTCATAGCTGCAGCTAACTCTAGGCTCCCTGATGTTATTTTCTTTTTAAATATTTGGTGTTCCTGGCAGCTGTGTCGGTTCTTTGTTGTGGTGGCACTTTATAATCATTTACACATCTGTTAATTTGGAGCGTGCCCACATTCACCAGTGAAATTGCTTCAAGGTCACTGTCGGCCTAGCTTAACACTTACTGGATGTCCTGCCCTTGAAACATGCCTTTAACATTTTGGCCATATGCTGTCACCTGTTAAATAGATGGCAAAAGTTTGGATTGTCAGTGCTGCACCCATGTCTCTCTTATTGCACATTTATGGCAGTGGTCCCTCAAGAAGAACGAACAATGATCTTTGGAGAATAACATTATGCACATACTTTTCTTCATGGGGCATGGGAGCAGTGCTTTGCTTGCATTCTGAATTCTGTGTGAGAGGAAGCTGCTGTTCCTTTCAGGTTGTGAGCCAAAGCACAGTTAGAACACCATGTGCAGTACTTGTCGCTGAGCCTAAAAAGGGGATATTGGAGAGCTGTAAAAACTGCAGAAAAGGGCAACTAAAATCAAGGGGCTGGAGCAGCTCCCCTATGAGAAGAGCTTACAAGTGGGATTGTTTAGCTTAGAAAAAAGGCAAATACGAGCAGAGATGATAGAGGTGTTTAAAATTATGCATGGTGTGGAGAAAGTGGAGAGAGGAACCTTTTTCTTCCTCTCCCATAACACTAGAAACCGGGGTCATCCCATGATGCTGACTGGTGGGTTATTCAGACAGATACAAGTCAATACTACTTAATGCATAGTTAAACTATGCAATTCACTTCCCCAGTTAGTGAGGGCCACCAGTTTGGATGGCTTAAGAGTGAGTTAGACAAATCTGTGGAGGAGAAACCACTAGCCCTGCTGGCTATATGCTGCCTCCACTATCAAAAGTGCTCTGCCTTTTGCTGGGGAACATGGGCAGGAGGGTACTTCTGCAGTCTTGTGTTATTTGTGGGTTCCCTGTGGGCACTATTGGCCACTGTGTGAACAGGATGCAGAATTACTTAGGCCCTGATCCAGCAGGGCTCTTGCTGTGTCCTTAATTCCCCTCAGTTCAGCAGAGAGCCCCTTATGCTCAGTCTCAGAGCTTGTTCTCTGTGTACAAAACATCCCAGGCAGATTTCCTGAGGTTTTGAGTTTTAAAAATAACAGGTAGCTGGACATGACCCCCAAAGAGCCACTGCCTGTCTGCATGGAGAAGGGTGAGCTGGATGGACAAATTGACTGTCTTGATATGACAGCTTACTACGAATTGTAATGGGGCATCTTTCCAAGTAGAGGTGTATGGGAATAAGACATGTGTTGGTGTAATCTCATGTGATGCAGGAATGGAATAGCTCCTTAACCTGATTCTGAAATTTGTATGAAGACAGGAATACTTCTGTGCGTTTTGCTTATTTCCTTTTCCAACTCTGCCATTTCTCTGCTCAGGTTCTTAGGGTCCACTCATGCTTTCTTTTTTCCTTCCTTTCCACAGTGGGCTACTCTGCTCATGCATCCTCTAGCCAACTGCAGAGGCACCTTCCTTGTAATTCAAATGACTCCTTGCATTCTGCTTGTAGGATGGGATTAAGGTGGCAAGTAACATTGCCATTCCTGTGCATTCACAGGTTTCAGTTTTCTAAAGTGTTTCCGTTTGGTTCCCTATAAGAGTAGGCTTTCTTTCTAAATAGATTTCACACTCATTCTATTCAAAATGAGCAATGGCTAAAAATAGGTTTTGAACTGCAGCAGCTGAAGCTTCGTTAAATGAAGAACTACTTGTGTTTTTCCTTCTCTTTCCTCCTCTCTCTCTCTCAGTACCTGGGATGCCAAACAGGGTCCTGTGAAGGATGCATACAGCCTAGCTAATAATCCACAGTACAAACTGGAGGTTCAGTGCCCACAAGGTGGCGCAGCAGTGTGGGTTCTGCTCAGTAGACACATTACTGACAAGGTATTTGTCCTTTTTCCGAATAAGTTGAAAGTGGAAGTGCAGTAAGGCCCAGAAGTGCCTTTTTGGTGTTTGAGCTGTCAAGAGGAGGGGGGTAAAAATGACCCAGATTTCACAGAACTGTTTCTGTTCTATGAAGAGCCGTGTGCCTGTTGCTTATCTCTCAAGCAAGATGTTGGTGTGCTTTCTAGTGCACTTATAAGCACATCATTAATTCCCAGCAGCTGGAGGAATCTATCACTGCATGGGAGAACTCATGGTGTGCTCTAAGATGTCTTAATGACACGCTTCTACGAGCCCAGAATTCACTCCCTCACAGAGGCAGCATACTGTATCACTACCTAATCCACCAGCATGAGCTTGTTTCCTTTTCTGGCTAGACTCCAACATGGAGGCTGTTGGAAAAATATAGGGACCAAGAGCAGATAATTCTTACCCTGAATGCTCTCAAGCAGGGGTCCAGAACTTCAGGCCTGGGTCCTAATTCAGCTCTTGGGGAATCCTCAGGGGCTCATGCCCCATTTCCCTGCGCCTTCAAACTGCTGATCTTTTTGTTTCCCACTATTTGCTCATCCCTCCCTGTTCTAAATGGTTGAAATTGTCTCATGATTTAGTTACTGGCAGTAAGAACTTTTAAGATGAAACAGGGTGGTATTTTTGGTCCCTTTTTCCCCTTGGTCCTCCCCCTTTTTTGTTCCCTTCTTGCCTCTGGGATGCACTCCCAAGAGTTTATCCAAAATTGAATGCGGCCTTGGGCTGAAAGGGGTTCTACACCGCTCCCGGAGAAATGCGGTCTGTTGGGAATAGGAGTTAATTCTGCATGTCAGAAGTTTAGTACATATTGAAATATAAGGGGCTTTTAATAAACAGATCGCTTTTTGGTAATGGGTTTTCTACAGGATGATTTTGCACGCAACCGGGAATTCATCACGATGGTTGTATACAAAACCAATGGGAAAAAGGTTTACTACCCTGGTATGTATGTTTATGTTTCTTTCCCCTTTTCCACTCACAGGAATGAAAAAAAAATCGTATGATCCTTAGCCTTCCTTGTTTTTGTGGAAAGTTTTGGTCACAAAGCTCATAGTTTAAGAAAGATGGAAATATCGGATGAAACACTGCCATGTCCTCTATTCCTGCACAGACCAAAGGAGCTGCTTTCGGGTTTTTAATTAACCCAGGACTATAGATGACCTTGACTATGTTAAAACAAGAAAGCTTTCTAAACTTTGGTTTGGAAACTAGTTATCACAGAATAACCAGAATCTGGCAGGTTCAGGCAACATGCCAAGCTGTGCTTAATCACAAGTGGAAGCTTTCAGACTCCTCCTGGCTGTTTGGAACAAGGATGGGGCAGGTGGAGGCCATGTGTGAGCCTAGTGGTGGCTCTGCTCACTTACATCTCATAGGTCAGAGAAGACAGCAGAGATTCTTCTCTCTTGCCTCTCCCTAGAACCCCATATGTTGCTCAGGCTTGTGGCAGAGGCTCAGTTGCAGAGCCTAAGAAAGTGGCACAGGCTGCCATGAGCCAGAGTTTCTGCACTGCTGGTTTAGCATTCCATTCTCTTTGACTGTGACTTGTCCCCTGGACGTGAGGTTCAGCCGCTTCTGTTCGTGTCTGCACAGAAGTTACTTTGGAAAGATAAGAGGACCTTCATCTGTGTTGCTTTACCATCTATGTTCTCTAAACATATTACATGGAAATTAAAGAAGCTTCTCTCCTCCTCTACAGAATGTTCAAAACATAAATTTAATATATCTCTTTACTTTTCCAGCGGATCCTCCGCCATACATTGATGGAATTCGGATCAACAGTCCCCACTATCTCACCAAGATAACACTGACTTCTCCAGGGACTCACACATTTACAATGGTCGTTTCTCAGTATGAGAAACAGAACACAATTCACTATACACTCAGGGTACGTGCCTATAGACAGCCTTGCAAACGAAATATTAGTAGGCAACCCAGAATCCATCACTTCTCTTAAGAGTTGATGGGAGAATGGGTGTTGACTTCAAGGTGTTTCTTACTTCAAATGGACAGACAGGTGATTATTCACAGATCTGCTTGTCAGGGTTATCTCAACTGGGTTCAGACAAAATGATAACTCACACTCAAGGGTTCTGTGTGGATTGTCATTCTTTCAATGACAATCATGTTAACTTGAACTCTGATGTGTTGATAAGCCATAGCTTGCTAACCACGAACAAGAGAAGCCATGTTAGGTTGCACACTGGGCATTATTCACCATGGTTTGTTTTCCCAAGTGCATTCAGGCAGCATGATAACCCATGTTTCAATGACAGTCCATAATCAACCTTTAACTATGGGTTGATGTCTGAATCTAGTTACTGTCCTGCTGTTTATTTCATACATAGCTGCAGAAATGTGGGACATCAGATGCAACTATCACCCATAGAGAGTGCTTAGTTGAATAAAGGTCCTGTGAACACTCTGGTTCCTTCAGTTATTAGGGGAAGAGGGGCGGTATGGTCAGTTGTAATAGCATGAAAAAATCATACTGGTGCAATAACAGCTATCATATATGGTGCCCTCTCTGTATGGTGACCTTCACTTGTACATGGCCCATCAGTCTGCCTTCTGCCAGGGTAGAGCACTGGGATTTCACCCAAGGCAGCATGAACTTGCTGTTTCTCCCTCACATACCCAGGTCAGGTGGTTGGTACATTGCATGGTCCCTGGGGAAACCTGTGGCACATCATTGCAAGCCCTTCCCAAACTTGTACCTTCTAAATGTGTTGGACTGCAAGTCCCATAATTTCCAGTCTGTAGGCCATGGGTTGGCCTGTAGACATGAATACTCAAGACTGGTTATATTTTGTACATGTACTAACACACCTTTGATTGAATAGTTGTAGAGTTCTTACATTGCTGGGAACAATTGGGCACTTACTTCTTTGTACAAAAGTCAAGAAGTAACTACTCTTCCACTGGTTAAAATTGGTGGGCAAAAGGGGTGTCACCATTACTTGGAGTACCAGGAGATTGCTCTGAGAAAAACTGTGGTCCAAACTGATACTGATCATTGTCTCTGCCTCTGAAGAGTGCTCTGGAATTTATTTATGTGATTTCTAGCATGCCTTTTTTCTTACAAGAACTCAAGGTGGCTTACATAATTCTGCTCTGGCTCTCAATCATATCCCCACAACAACAACCCTGTGAAGTAGGTTGGGCTGAGAGTCTGTGACTGGCCCAAGTCACCCACTTGGCCAAGCTGGGACTAGAACCCAGATTACCTCAGGCTCACACTCTTAACTATTGTACCGCACTGGCTCTGGCAGAATCCCTGTAAAGACTAGTACTTCTGTTTTCTATACACATTTAATTCTTTGAAGCACCAACAAAAGGTACTTTCAGGTATTCACATATTGTACAGAATATGCAAATATATTTGCCAGCAGAAGTTAATGTACCATACAAATGTTTGCACTGAGATCTGTTTTTTCAATAAGAGAAACCCATGCAACATAAGGCTGGATTCAAACTTAGGCCTACTTGGAATAGATCCACTGAAATCAGTGGGACTTAAGTAACTCTTAACTAATGTAAGCCCCATTAATTTCAGTGAGTCTGCCTTAAGTAGGACTAAACCTGAATCCATCCCATAGCTTCTGCTCAGTTTTGTTCAGTGTCAGTTTCCTCAAATTTCTTCCTTTTCTTAACTCCGTAATATGAATCATCCTATTATTTTATGTCTACTTAGGTTTATTCAGCATGCAAGTTTACCTTTTCTAAGATTCCAACACCATATACCACATCAAAACGGGTAAGAGAAAAATTGCTATGATCATCCTGGAGGGTGTCTGTGTCACAACAGAGAGCACAAAAATAAAACAAGTTTCTCATTGTATTTGATGTGTTTTCTTTCCCTAGTATAACACTGAAGATGAATCAGGGGTATTTGTTTTAGTTCCATTTTTGATATATATGCATAGAATTGTATGAATGCATAACCCTTTCTAGTTTATACATAAGCTTCAGCAAAAGCAGACCACATATTCAAATAAGCTTTTAGTTGAAGGTGGTGTCTATACACCACTGTCTATGAGAAGCTCTGTAAGGGCCTAAATCCATTGCATAACAGCAACCCAATAGCAATAGCCCTCCTCCCCGCTATACCTGGTCAGCCACTAAAGGCTTCTCAGATAGCCGTGTTGGTCATTCTGCAGCAGACAGACAGACCTTCTCAGTGATGGTACCAACCCTTCCTTTGTGAAGTTCAAGAGGCCAATGCTGGCTAGTTCTAAATGCTTCAGTTGACTTTCCCTGATCTCAGAAAGACTTTCCTACTAGCCTGCTTCATTCCTTATGGTACTGTAATGTAGTTAATTATCTGTTTCATATGTTCTTTCATGTAACTTAGTGCCCTGTAATAGCAGGGTTTGGACCTGATGGACTTCTGGCCCCTTCCAGCTCTACTATTCTGTGATTCTATGTTCTTATATTGCTATACTGTTTTATTTAGGGATTTTAATATATTAAGTGGTATAAATGTTTTATACATAAATAAACTTACATAACTGAAAAGGAACTGACAGTTTAGCTGAAACATGTGCTAAGCCTTGCTTTCTTTATTTTACCGTCTATTTAGTCTCATTTTCCACAAAAGTATTTACTGTGGATAGATCAAGAAGCAGTTCTGCATCTGATTCATTATATAAATTTGAATTAATCACCTTGTATATTTATTCAATTAAATATTCTAGCAAAGTGTTGGAGGTTGGAAAGGGACAGGAGAGGAGGCTAAAATAATAATTAAAAAGAACATCAAATATAAATATGTTGTCAAGAAGCCCTTGGATTAATTTTTCCTTAGGTGAATGGACAGTGGAAAGGTCACACTGCTGGTGGATGTGGCAATTTTAGAGATACCTGCAAGAACAACCCTATTTACCAGTTCCAGTTGGACAGGAGTGGACCACTCCTAATTGAACTAAGAGGACCAAGGTCTGTGCAGAATTAAACAAGCTGATGTTATATGATTCAAATATCCTAGAACTATAATGGCTTACTGACCAATATGATAAGTTCTTCTGTTGTTGCGTGTTGCATTTTTCTGATTCAGTTATGGGGATCTAACTAGGGTTTTTAGCCTATATTTATAGCAACAACTACTACAACACATTTTTAATTACTGTTTCTGAAGATGCTGCATTCTGTGCTCAGTACCAGATTCTGCACTTGCATGAAATTGCAGAATATACCTAACACTGGGAAGTGACTTCTTGTAATCATGCGATACTGCTTTCCATAATCCCTTTGCAATGAACCATTGTAACCAAAAGACAATCTTCTGATTGCTATGCAGGCAGTACAGTGTTGGACTCGAACTTGTTACAGTCTCTACAGTGGGAGACCCAGGTTCTTTGGGATTTCAGAAGAAGAATAGTGGCGATTACAGGTGATATTTCATTGGATTTATGCATATTTAACTGTGTTACAATAAGTATTGTATTTAGTTGTTTCCTCTTTCTTCTTCTCCCAAGGTGTGGATTTTGCTATCTGGAAGTTGAGAGCGTACCTGCTGGGGTTTACAATATTATTCCAAGCACTTTCCTTCCTCAGCAGGAAGGACCCTTTTTCTTGGACTTTAATAGCACTATTCCTCTTAAAATATCACAGCTGCAATGAGGTGACCTGGCGCAATATGTTTTTGCACAATATGGCGGATTTGACAACTCGACTGTTTCACTGGACAGCAATCAAATAACCAACCTAAGAAATCGTTTGAGAGAGAATGAGCCACATCCCAAAGCTGGGGTCACCAGATGCTCTGCTGATGACCCTGAGCAGCATCCTGAAGCAGAGTGGAAATTGGGGCTTCCCCTTGTTTTGCCCATGCTCATTCTTGAACTGTTGCCAATTTGATGGCAAGCAAAGGAATGTGCTTGAACTTAATCATGTTCCCATCAATGTCCTTTTTTTTCTTTTTTTCTTTTTTGCATGAATTCTGCCTATAAGAATCTGGCTTTTTTTAAAATCAAGCTCTGGTTTGAAAATGTGTATGTTTTTCCTGTTTTACCAAATCACCTCCTAAACTCAGTTTTTCCAAATACTATGATAAAAATTGCTCCAGACAGTAGTATCTGTCTTCATCTGAAATAGCTGCACTTGTGATAATACTTCATTTGGCCCTCTTGCATAGGTGCCAGTAGCCAATCCTTCTCAGTTCTGCAGTAGCAGGTGTTAGCCTAGTGCCTGGACAGTGGCTTGCTGGTTAGTATATGAAATGTGAAAATTATGAAATGCCAAAAACCTGCATATACAGATTATTGTGTGTAGAGTGGAACTTATACTTTGGACTTGACTTGTGACACACTTGCCAAAAATGTTGACCCCCACTGGTTTAAGTCTTTTGTTCCCAGTCTATGAATGCTGCTGTTGCCCAGTCTCCAAGCTGTACTGTATAACCTCTGTATCTGTACTATAAGATCTATGTTCTACATGGCTTATGAGCATAGTTACATGGCATGATTTCATATCTGCAAGGGTGGAACTTTTAAGTACATTTGTACTTTGGTTATAGACCAACACTAGCTGCCACTCAGGAGCTATTTGTGGTGACTAGGGTCTCAGGTACTCCACTGTTTCTGGCCACAGATCTTTGAAGAAGGTAAGCATTCTGCAAAACCAGCAAATCTTGATTTTGGTAGTGCACAAAATTGTGCTCTGTGATTCAGTAACTAAGGATGCAGATGGGACTAAGAAGCAATGGCCTGGCACCTAATTTTTGGTTCATATTTGTCATGAATAGTATTCAAGTGAGTGAGGCTAGATCCTCTGTGTGCTTTCGATTCCTCCCTTTGACCATCCAGTCCTTGTTTCATGTATGTGCGCAATCGCATTTTCTGTTACTTTTGCTAATTTGCCTAAAAATAGAGTCTGGGCAAGCTTGCATGATCACTGCAGCCTGGCATGACTTACTTAAGCCACAGTATGCGCCACTGGCCATTTTGAATGGTAGGGACAGCCTGGTGGGATGTACCATGTTTTGCTGGATCGTGTGACCCAAGACAATGTCTTGCTGGATGGGAAAATCAGTAACTGTACAACAGGCCATGAATTATTGGAGAGTTCTTTTTCCCCTGGATTTGGGCAACATGAGTTGTAGCCCAGGACTTGAATAGAGCAATCTGGTCTCCATGGGTAACCATAAGGCTTCATTAAACCACAATGGGCTGCAGTGATTATGTGAACCAGGTCTCTGCATTGTGCTGGTACAGTACCTTTAGAGGCCAATTAAGATTATTTTAACGTGTTTCTCAAATTAGGATTTTGGCCCGTAGGCTTTTCATTTACGAATTTAGAGAGGCTCTAAAGAAACTATATAGCTTTCTTTTAAAAGCCATTTAAAGGAGAAGCTTAGAAATAGCTTTCTGGTTTGTGATGAGCCTGGTAGATATTTCTCATTAGAAAATCTAGTTCTTTTATCAAATTAGGGGACCCTTTCTGCCTGCCTGGGATAGTAAACCTGTTTTTAAAATGCAGAGTACATTTACTTCAGGGTTTTATATGGGTACACAGTTGGTAGTCTGGGGCTTGGACAGAAAAGCATTTGGGAAAACTGAACTACAAAACTGAAATTGATTAGATTAGTTCAAAGATTAGTTTCCATAGCAACACATTGCCTGTATTTCACCTAACAATGGACTGAACTCTTTCTTTCCTGTCCAAGCCCCAGGTGTCCAATGGAATATGCACATATAGAAGCTTGTTGAAATGTACACTTCATTTTTAGAACTGGAGGCAGATAATCAGTTGACAGTTTGTTGTAGTTGATGCATCCAACATCATAAGCATTTTCTTATCCATTTCAGTAAAACTGACTTTGCTGTAAATGGGAAGTCAGAATCCTATATTCTTAGAGTTCAGTATGTGAAAACCTTCATTTTTTCTCCTTCCTGCCTGGGGAAGAAATGAGAACAATATTCTGCATGTGAGCCCTTCCAAAATAAAGTGCATGCGTTGTAGGGTCAAGGGAGGGAAGAGACTGAGGATGGGAATAAGCCTTCATTTTATATTTTTGTAATTCAGAAGTTAATTCATTAGGTTGCTTTGCAATGCCCTGCAGTTATCTTGCTGCCTATATTTAAAAGCATGGTATGTTGCTTTTGATCCACTGGGGGCGGGGGGGAATGGGCGCACATGCTTAGCATTGTTACAGAAACATTACCAAGCAACTCAACAGGGAAAACATTGCTTTTGGGATAATCTCAAGTGATAGTTGGCTTTGAAAAGAAAATTAAAATCAGGTGCCTTGTAATTGCTGTTCTTCAGATGGGCCATCTGGGCTGAGGGAATTGAATCATGCTGTGTACTTGACAGTAACTCGCAGCTTATCTGCTTTTGCAAGGTAATTAGTGAGATGAAAGTTATTTGCAGTCAAAGCCTCAGCTGTAAGTCAGTAATAAAAGACTGAAGGAAACAGCTGATTTAATATATTATTTAAGGGCCACTTCTTACAATGTGAATTTTCTACATAAGTTAGTGGGGAAAAGGCTTTGAATCTCATCTGATATTTGTCATAGTTTGCTGGTTGTGCACATGGTAGGCATTCATTATGGCACGCATATGCACAGTTAGGGTTCCTGCATATGTTAAAAATTAAAAAGTCAACCTATAAAGGGGATTTAGCAAGACTCCCCAACATGTTTGTGGTTATTGCAGTCCACAGAAAGCACTGCAGGCAGGACAATTGCTTAATCGAAGAATTTAATTTTTCAGAGTTTGTGTAGCCACCTGCTGAGGGTGTCAAAATTATTTCAGACTATGTTAGTAATCATTATTGTAAACAATTGAGGATTTCACTTCTGTTTTGTATTAGAGTACCGTCAGACGTGTATAGTGCCTTTGGCTTTAGTAACCACATAAGATCATGGACTACTCTGACATTTTGATGCCTGAAGCAGAGGATAAGATGGCATCCCCTCCCATTTCCTTGTACGGAGACTAACTAAGCTCTTACTCCCAATTTGAGTGCATCTTGCACTACGTCTACGAGCAGTAGGCAATACAGCCCATATAAGATTGTCCTCTGAGCACCAAGGTGCACCCACTGCCTAAGGTCTGTACAAGGTCTAGCTCTAGCTAATGATAGGGCCAGCTCTGACTGAACTTAGCCTTTTTCAGGAATAGTGGCACATCTGGCTTATGATGTTTAGCTCTATTGAGCAGATGTGAGGTGAAGGAGGATTATGAATCCATTTACTGGGACTCTGGTTTAATTATCTTCATCTATTAGCATATAGAACTGGTAAAGATTATAAATGGGATTTGTCATTTGCTTGCAAGAAATAGTAACTGATCAGTACTAGACTTGCTCATCTTAGAAAAAAAAGGTTACTTTAGGCATACACCTGAACAAGAAGAAAATCAACTTTTAGCTAATGCTATATTGCCACAGTGATTTATGGACCCCACAAGCTCTGGAACAATTTTAAATTCCAAGACCAGCAGATGCTTACTGAGGTTTATGGAGTTGTAGACCAAAACATCTGATGACACCAGGATTCCTTGCCCCACCCTAGATACTGTATAACGTGTTCTCTCTTAGTGCCCTTCTTTTAATGAAGAAAGATATGACTTCCAAGGAATACCTTTAAATATGCAGTGGGGCTTTAGTTGTAGGCTTCACTCTTAGAGCACAGTCACACAAAAACTTCCAGGGATCTTCTGGAAGGATATTAACTGGAAAATGTGAACATGAGAAAAATTATTGTGAGAAAGTCCTAAAGAGAGCCTGTTCCTGTCTTCCATAATAGCTTATTATGCATTGCAGAATCTTAAAGCACCAGCATGGTCTGGTCTGCAGGAACCAATACCACTATATTTTCACAAATGAATCCAGAAAAGATGCATAGAGCTAGAGCAAAAATGCCATCATTAAACTTTTTACTCACCACCATGGTTTCTTGTTCAAAGGTACAGTTGCAAATTGGGGGGCATATTGCCTACCTATCATCTCTGAAAAACAGTTCGAGTGTTCCTTGCTAGCGGCTGCATGTGGCACAAAAATGCCACTTAAAATGGCAAGATTTCACTGAAATACAAAAGCTATTCATATTCTAGATCACAATCTTTCAAAATAATATATTGGATCCCGAGCAACACTTGAAATTGGACATAAATTAGTCATAATTCCTTGCCCAATTAATTTCAGTGGATCTACTTGCCGGAATACAACCAATCCTTTCTATACTGTGACTTCAAACATGAATCTTGCCCTTGTAGTACAATACTGGGGGGGAGGGGAAAAAAGCACACAAAAGCACTAACCTCCAGTTTGCATTTTATTAATTACCATTCCATTTGGCACTCGCAAAGTCCATTTTGTCAGTTGAAATGCAGCCAAATGCACAAATGGAAGGTTTATGTATATTTGGGAGAACATATTGGTAAAGGAATTTTCTAAAAGCATTTTAAACACTTTCAATATAACCATACTGCACATGAAAACAAAATTGTAAAAGGGTAAAGGAGACTTTAGTGTGTGAAGGATTTTTTACATTTGCTTTTGGAAGAGATATGCAAGCTACCTAGTAAGGACAAAATACAAGAAAACTAAGCCAAGGAATAGAAAATTTGGGAAGATGGGGCATTGCTAAAGACCCCAAATAAATAAATATGTTTATTAGAGATGGCATATGCATATTTTATAAATGCTAACTAGGAAAACAAAAATCCTATGATTTTAACTATTTCTACCAGACATCTCTACTGTCTAACAGCTGTTACTGAAGCATGCTTCAACTCCCTTTCCAGTCAGTTCTTCATTCAAGGGATGCTAAGTCTACAAGTCCCTTTAATTATTATAAAAATGCTACACATGACAACCTATGGAGATATTAGAAATTATTCACCCCTTCAGCCTTAACCATTATGTCATCTGCTCATGCAACACCTCCCTCTTTCTTCTTGGTAAGCCAAGGTGTAAAAATAATAATTTTCCTATCCTTGCCTATTGATTCATATCAATGATACAGTCAAATTAGTTTGAGGTACTTAAATTGTCATAAATAAGATTCTAATGGGCATTAGATTTTTGTCACTAGATAACTGAAATTCACCCTCCCCCAAATCCCAAACCATAGGAAGCTAGACATCTTTGTATCAATATTAACACAATTGTATTACCCTTGAGGTATACGTTTTCATCACTAACGAGCTCTACAATAAGACAAAGTTTCTAGGCTCCATGACATGCAACAGCTTCCTTTTATAATCCAAAATATAATACATACATTTAAAGTACATGGTTTTTAAAAGGGGATACCATCAGCACCTTGGAATTCTATGTCTAAGTCACAGCTCAGTTCACAAAATGGATGCCAGGTGCGCCTTCAAAACGTATGGCTGGGCCTTCAGTACCCAAGTGCACAGAACTCCATAGACGGGATTATTGCTTCTGCCAAACCGTTATATAATGTCCTACAAGGGCTGTGAAGTACAAGGGGAGCTGATGTTTGTTACTTCTATCATGACGAAGATCTCGCTTGTATCTGAAAACCACACGTGCACACTTCGGCCATCAACACTGATGTAACTTTCAGTGCAGTTTTAAAGAGTAAACGTTGAAAATTTGGCATACATTAGGTTATTGGCACAAGGTTCTTCTGATGTTCAGAAGTTGTTTGCGTATAAATAATTTAGATTCCTCATTAGCCTTGGGCTTGACATGATGACATCAGCCAATCTGTACTGTTTTTCTGTCTGCACAAATCCCATCTTTGACCTTCAAGCATTGTAAGGAGAGCCGCTTCATCTTGTTGTCCAGTGTTGGGCCACTAGAAGAGGAATTACTGCTGTTCCTGTTCTTGTTTACTTTATCGAGCATCTTGTTCTCTGCTCCTTCTGCTCTGTCACCTGTGAGTATGATATGGAAAGGTTATATAGTATTGGATACAGAACAGGGTGGGTACAACCTCTTTACCCATACATTCTATAGGCTGAATGCAGACTTAATCACATTTAAGGACCAGGTTTGGACAACATGTCATGGCTCATTATGCATTATTTCACCAACACTGAACCACAATGCTCACCAGATTGCATATGCAACCCCCATTCTGGTACATCATACAAAACTGCATAGGTTAAACAACCCTCTCATGACCATTTAAGACTTGACCCACTGAAATCAATTTAGTCATGATGGACTTTAGTCCCACTGATTTTGATGGTTCTGCTCAAACTGAGTAAGTCTGGCTCCAGTCTGAAAGCTTCAGCATTCCCCCATAGTGTTTATACCACCTATTGTATCCAATATTCTCTCAGGATGAACCAGGATGCCAGTAAGACCTTTGACAAGGTTTCTATTACTAGGAACAATAATTAATTTATCATCTACATCCCAGGGTGCTATTCCCCTACTAGCTTTGTGCCAATTATTTGTTACTTAGTTTTAGATAGAAATTCTATAGCACTATCTTTTCATGGAAGCACAGGCAGTAACTAATTCTCTATCTTCAGACACCTTTTCTTATGCAAGTCCTTAATCTTGGTTGATGGATACTGGGGTTCTTCTTTTAGAACCACTGAAAGACTACTCTAAAGCTGTGCTCATAGAATTATTTCACACTTCAAATATAAAGAAGCTGCAAATTGCAAGGTTAACATGTTGTTGGCTCCTAGGAAATAGCATGATGTGACCAAAAGAAATTGGACAAGAGCTTCACTTTTAGAGATTTTAAAAGCAGACAAAGACTGAGCAGCTCAGTTCAGGTGCAAAAGCTTCTGATCCCTTTTTATTCATGCAGACTACAAAGGCCCTGCTGGCTGGGAATGATGGACATTGCAGTCCAACATGTGTAGAGGGCACCAGATTGAGGAATGCTGCTCTGGAATGATGCACAGAAAGCCGCTGAAACAGCTACACAGTCCTAGGCAGGTGGTTATTCCTAGCCTAGGGGCAGAACCAAGAAGGGAGGACTCTGGGCCTTCTAGGTTTTTCTAAGCTGGCCTGGTGTTTAGTTGCTTACCCGAAATCCTCTGTCCAGACCATCTGGAACAACACTTCTAGTAATGAACAATACATGGTTCTGTGATGTGTGCCAAATCAGTCAATTTGCACAAATTGCAATTGGTAGAAATTGGCTGATTTGGCACAAATAATAGCAGAACTATACAGTTTGCATAATTTCATTAGTGGATTAAAAATAAATGATTAGGATCCACTGATGGCTTCATCCTGCATAATAAATGTGCCTATTCTATTTTTAACATCATCTAGCTTGGTGCCATCAAAATTTCCTTTGGTAGCAAATTCTGCAGTTATATAATACAAAGAAGTGCTTGTCTGTCCTGAACCTTCCACCCTTTGGCTTCACTGCATGGATCTGGGTTTCAGTATTATGATGGGGTGGGTGGGTGGGTGTGTGTGTGTGTGTGTGCGCGCGCGCACGCGCGCCAACACAAGGCAGGGGAAGGGGGGGAGAGAGAACAAATATGCATGGTCTTGAAAGTCTCCTTGCCCTTTTCCTAAAATGAAAAACTGAAACTTTTCCTCTCAGGGGAGTTACCATTTTGGCTGTTCTTTTTTGTGCCTTCTCCAGCTTCTACAACTCTTTTTGAGGTTCAGCAACCAGGAAACTACACATTTTTCTAATTATCCATATGAGGCTTTATGGGTCCAACTTACCTCTTTCAATTTCACATTCAGGAGAGGAAGCCCCACTGCATTCACTACGAGGTCCTAGCAGGGGAAATATACCAAATTCAGACAATGAAATAGGGCTGGACAGATCCAGGCTTCTAGGTCTTGCCACAGGAAGAAACTGAGTTGGCATATCCAAAGGGCTTGTTGGACCAGAACTGAAGCTAGATACAGACTGGGTTTCAGATTCTTCCTCGGAAACAAAGCTGCTGCAGTTGTCATCCTCAAAGACTTCAGAAGCCACTGTGTGAATAGTAAGAGAACTGTAATTAGCCAAGAGATTTTTCCAAGAGCCACAATTACAAAGGCAATATTAAACCTGGTTCTCTCTGAAGGATACTAATGGTGACTTCCATTCAAATAAGCAGCATTTTTCCTATTATCCAAGGCCAGCTATTAAGAAAGTAGAAATGAGCTGCTTAAGAATTATTGTTCATGTGTTAGGTCAGCCATTTTGATGCTGGCAGAAACCATTTCCAAATGGCAGCTTCTCCATACAGTAACTATATACAAAGTGACAATGAAAGCAATAGGGCCCAAGCACTAAGCAAATAGTCTAGTCATTTTTACATTGAGAGTAGAATTCTAATGGGCATGAGCCATTTCCACTTTAGAATGGATCAAGCCACTGACTTCACAGTTCGGTGTGGGTGCTGGGGAGAAGATACAATGTCCTTCCTCTGAGACAAGCCATTGGTTCAGCCAGTCAGCACAGTACCATCAACAATCACAGGCAGTGTCTTTTCAGGGTCCAAGAGCAGCTTCAGGGCCATATCCATTCCCAGTTGCCATTTTCATGTATTTTAACAGGGAAAGCAACATGTTTTACACATTTGGGCTCAATGATGCATAACAGATGCTTATGTGAGTTGTAAACTTTATCATGACATTTGTGGGTTGGATGCAGATTCAAGATGAATCAACTGCGCTGCTAGAAGTGGGCTTCCCTGCTCCCATCCTCTCATGACAGCCCCTCCAGTCCCCTAAAAACAACTAGCGGAGGGTCGTAAGATCATGATAAATGGGGTAAGCTTTGGTGAGTCTCTAAAAATGGGCAGGAAGGGGAGGCTTCTCTAAGCAGTGCTTTCTTTCTGAGGAAATGGTGAGGGGCCAGTAGAAGAGGAGGGGACATCTAGAAAGATAGACAGGGATCCAAACTGACCCACACTGGTACTGGCTCTAGCCATTTCAAGACAATAGTTGTTACTGTATCACACTGAGCCATCGGACATTACGCATACCTGTCAGAGAACACTTTCCTACTTGACATGGTCCAACCTGTACATGCTTTGATTCTACTTACTGGATATATTATCTGACTCTGATCTGCACACTGAAAGGTCTTCTGCTGAAGTGCTGCTGCCTTCAGCACCCACACCACATCCTCTGGGCCCCATGGAAGAGGCTCGTCTCCTCTCATGAATTTCATCTGAGATCATCTCCAAGTTCTTCAAAGCCATTTTGTATTCACCCTTCGCTAAAGACAGCTTTGCCTGCAGTTCATCCACAGTCTTTTTCAATTGCTAATGATATAATCAGAAAAAAATTCCTTTACTCACAAAAGCACTTTGGTGGATAGCACATTAAAAGGCAACATGTTTTTTGAGACTGCTAAAAAAAAAAAAAAACATAGCACCTGAGCTCATAAATTGAATTCTGACCAGAGGAAGCTGTGCACATGTTTTAGAGCTCCCCTACAAGATTCTGGCCCCAGCTACTAATTTACAGATTTCCTGGTGGGTTAGATGTATATTTTATGCTACATAAGTTGTTCGGGCAGAAAGGGACTTGATTTTCTGCTTCCCACAGCAGTGCCTCCAGCTTCCCAAAAACACTTCTCGGAGTTAGAAGAACCCGCGGAATGGAATGAGCTGTGCTGTGGTGAGCAGAAGATTCCTATCAGGCACAGAGAACTTCAGTGAGCAGAGCATTTCCTCTCATGGAAGGTCCCTTCATCTCCCAGAAGGCAGATCTTGAATCCAGCTCTATATATTTGGCGCTGTGAGTCAAAATCAGCCAATGAGCCAAAATATGCTAACCATAAACTTTCACAGAGCATCTTCTTCAACCTCTGGAATCATTGGAACCATTCATAAGAAGGGCATGAATACTTTATTCTTAACAGTGAGCTCATTGCTTGAATATTTATACCATTTTGTGGGAAATTCCTCATTGTTCTACATTAGCCTAGGGAAGTCATCTATGTACAATTCCAGATAAGTGTGTGTTACTCAACTCCAGAGAGAAGTGCATGTCCATAGTAAGCAAACAAACAATCGCCTATTTTTTCAGCACCATTCCCATTCAAGGGTAAACATATTGGGCAGTATCCAATTGCATACAGTTACTGTAAATTACATTGTACTCATGTAAAAAAAAACCCCTCTACCATAAATCCAATAGCATTAGATGATTTGATAGGATTCCCCAGAAAACCTGCTGTGCTAGCCAATGCTAGTGGTATCACACTAGAGGACCCTAATGTTAGTGCAATGTAATTTATATCATCCTAGTATCCAACTGGATAACACTAAGCATCATCTACCAAACACAGCCCAGAAAAAAAGGAGAGCAATGGAGTTGAGTTACAACAACTCCTCTGTTGTAACTCAACTCCTTTACAATGTTCACCTCCTTTACAAGGTTCACTGCCTTGTGAGAAAGATTATGCTTTGTTCTTGTTTTACAGAGATTTTATTAACATATTTTCATTTGACTTGCAAGCCACCTTGAAAGGATTTGTATCCTTAAAAAGGTGAATATAAAATTCTAAGAAAAAAATAGCCCCATCCTAGTTTTGAAAATTCATTCTCGGATTTTTCCAGGGACATATGCTATGTGATTTGGTACACTTCCCCCATCTGTGTAGATTCTTTCCAGCCTGACATGTTTAAGCCCTAAACAAGATAATTCCTATCATGGAACACTAGTGAAACCCCCTGCCCACTCTGCCAAAAAAAGCAATCACATTAGGACATGTATCTTGATTAAAAGATAGTATAGTATGCTGTTATAGTACTTATTTGCAATGCATGAAATATAGTTTTCCAATCTTTCCTAGAAAATGTATTGACACGTACCTCTAATTGTACGTAATATTTTGCCTTGAGTTCAAAGTAAGGCCTACAGGGAAGGGAAAACACAGGAAAAGGCATTTAAAATTATTGATACAACAAGCCAGAAAGGCAGATGGAAGATAGTTTTCATGGACAACTTTCTAAACAATAATTATGCAAGCAACATGAATTATTTGCAAGCAACATGAATTCTTCCCAGGCAGCTTCTCCTAACAGTTTCTCTTCAAATTGACCTCCACCCATCTCACAGTTCTGTTGTTGTTGCAGAGTCAGCATCTGAGAGCTCCCATACATGGGATACAATATTGTTCAGCAAGTGGAGGGTTTGGGAGATGAACAGTAACCAAGGCTTGATTAGTAGGGAGTTATAGACAATGATGTCATCCACTCCCCTCAGAATTCCCAGCTCTGTCTGAGCTTAGCTGCAGTCCTTACGGTAGCTGGGGGCAAATGGATTCTTTCGGCAAATGGATTCTTTCGAATATTGTGAGCTTTCCTCATTGCAATGCAAATAATTTTGCTCTGGTTTGGTCTTGCACAAGCAATTTAGACTCATGACCTTTACGAAACATCTGCTCCTCACAGAAAACTGCTTTGACTCAACCCAGCTGCCTGCTTTTCTGGGCTCTCCCTGGGGCCATAGATTTGGGGACTGTCATGATGAGTGCCTGCACTTCAAAGCTGACTGCTACACCACTGGGGAGGATCCCTCACAGCTCCCTCAGTCAAAAGGACTTGCTGGGAACACTGAAAGAGCAGAAAAATTATTTTTGAGACCCTCTTACAACTGAGTATACAATTTAGGAGTCAACATTAAATGCTTCAAGACTGCCATTCTAGGACTGCTATTTGGTCATTCCCATGCCTGTAATTTTATTTTATGTTGCATGTAGGAACAGAATATGTACTCCTTCAGCACTATCCATATCCCTCCCAGAAAACTTATCCAGATCATAACTTATCTTGTAGCTGTAACCTAGTAAGGATTTTAGCATGACGTTGGGACCTTAAGCCAGCTTCCCTCAAGCTGCTGGCCTCCAGATGTGATGAACTTCAATTACCATCATCTCCAACCAGCACACTGGCAGGTATTGATAGGCATTGTGGTTCATCACATCTGGAGACCTCCAGGTTGGGGAAGGATGATTTAAGAAAATCTAAACCTCAAAATGCAGGTATGTTCATGTGAGAGAACAATGTTGTTTTTCAAGACGCAGTTCACACATGCAGCTATACATCATTCTATCAAACATACAGGTGGAAATTGGTCCTATAGATACAAAAATACAACACATACTTGGATTTATTTATGGCCCTTTTCAATTTCTTCTCCAACTGTTTCATTCTGCCCATGGCAGCATTGTATTTAGCTGCTGTCTCCTTGTGCAACAGTTCACTTCTGGTTTTTGTCTGCTCTGCCTCCATGACCTTTGAAGAAGAAAAAATGAAATCTGGTTTTGAGCTGGAAAAGTTGCAATTCTTGTGTGTGAACATATGCATACTATTTCCACAATGTTTCAACCCAAATACCTGACATGGTAGTGAAACGGAGAAACGTGACAATTGTCAGTAAAGTCAGCACAATAAAGTTGCAAATATGCAGCTAAAATTCATTCATTAAAAAAATATAAACTATTAGGGATATACAATTGACTAATATGAAAATGCAAAATAGTAGCAGACATCTATGAAAATGGAACCAGCTGCCTAGAGAGGTGGCGGGCTCTCCCACGCTAGAGACATTCAAAAAGAAACTGGACAGCCATCTGGGTGGGATGGTGTAACATGGTGTCCTGCAACAGCAGGAAGTTGGACTCGTTGGCCTTCATGGCCCCTTCCAACTCTACTAGTCTATGATTCTATGAAGTATGAAAAAGTCAAAGAGACATTGTTTTGCTTTTGGAGACTTGTTATGGAGCCTACAGAAGAGACAATTGTTGACTTAATCTAAGTGATGCCAAAATCTGTACAAGTTGTAACAAAACAGCTTGAAAACAGTGGCCACAATACTAACAACTTTCATATAATGCAAGTGGGAAAAGGTTGATTTTTCTCAAAATTAGGTAGCTAAAGAAGACTTTTGGTGTTTTAGGTTCCTTCCCAACCTACATATAAACCAGCTGTCACTTAAGTAATACATGTCTTATGAGACAACCAGTACCATCTCCCTGCTCAGGTTATCGAAGAATTTTTAGCTTCCTGTTTTCCTGATGGAGAGGAATAGGAAAGCAACAACTGTCCCAAGAAGAGTGAGCAATGGCTCTTACCCTTTGAGTAGCATGGTTGAGCATCTCTTGCCAGGCAGAATCAAACTGGCGCTTGTCATCTTCTAGCAGTCTCTGTTCTGCAAGGGAAATGGTCTCCTTAGCAGCCCGTAGTACTTCAGTAGCTCTCTGGAAATCCTGTGTGGCCTTCTGAGCTTCCAGCTGTGCCTAAAGTGAGATGTATTAATTAGCAGAAAAGAATCCCAGTGCATTTATGGAAGGGAGAGAAATAGAGAATTCCTGGTGTTTAAAGTTTACCCGAATTATTCCTTGTTTGATTCTGATCATTGCTGGCCCATTGATTAATTCTAACTAAATGCTACCAACACTAAATGCTTAATTTGACTACATTTAACATGATGTGCAAATTAAGAATAGCATTACTTTCACAGGATGCATCAATTTGCCAAAGTTCATACAGTTCTTCTTAAACTTGCTAGAGCCCCACAAGTTAAATTAGGCAGAGACAGCAGTTCTACCAATGGTTATGGCCATCACAGGGTACATGTTGACATCTGGAAGCATTTCCAGTACCTTCCACATGGCAATAAGAACCAGTCCTAAAAGACTCATGTTTTGACAAAGAGTGTGTGTGGAGAAATTATGTACATTTTTTGCTGAATAAAAATAAGCAATTTCCTCTTAAATCTCGTAACATACTACAAAATACTACAGAGAAATTGTTTGTTTTGTAGCTCATAAAGTCCACAGCTTGTGTGAAGGTTCATAAAAAAGGCCTTTGAAGCATGGAAAAGTAGACTGTGCAAATATCTCGTCTGACTTTATCCATGCAAATACTTCTGTCATCAAATTATATAAAACGTCAGTCAGGATCAGTTTTTTTTCCCACCACTCACATGGTGCGTAAGTTGCACATTTTTCTTGGATAATGCTGCTCAAAGGTCATCTTCAGTCAACTTTGTGATGTATTTGCTTGACTTTTGACTCTTTACCCTAAAGGTCATATGAGCTCACAGAAGCCTGAAGCATTAGAAGGCATTTGGAAGAGCTGCAAATTAGTAGATAAAATGTAGTGCCAGTCCCTCATGCAACCTCACTGCTACGGAGAGGAAGCTGGCTTGCAATAGCCAAAAGAAAGCAGGCTTGGCATTCAGAAGCTTCTGCCAGTTACTTTGTGATGAATAAAATGTTACGCCTTCGAAATGTTTCTGACTAGATAACTATTTAAATGGCCTACTGGCTTTGAATTACAATAATCATATAAACATTAAACAAGAATTGGTTATGCCACTTAAGAACAGGCTTGACCTAAAGGCCTGGGAATGTAAACTTAGGTTTTTGAAGGCTCTTGGACAAGATACTCTCAATGCCCCTGCCTCTATCAGTGCTTCTACCCTCTTACCACCACTGTCATCAGCTGTTACTGCTCCTCATCTTCTTTCTCATCATTGCTTACTTGATAGGCAGACAATCAGTGAGGAAACAGATTGCGATATATACTACTACTTCTTACTGCTACCACATCTGGGCCTGAGGGGCACTGTGTTTGCTTGTTTTTAAGTGACTATATAATTTTCCACCTCAAAACAATTCTTCTGCCCCAGATATTTATTCTATTCTTAGAGAACATTGTCATTCTTATTTTATTTTGAATGTTGATTTTCTCACTGTCTTTCCTGTGTCCTGTTTCTAGTTCTGAATTATATGGTTGCTTGTCTACTATACTTTTTAGCACATATTTGCTAAAGGGATCATTGTGAGTTTATTCTGCATAATGATCAGCTTTCCATAGTAAGAGGTATCATTCTTTCTAATCAGTCTTATGAACCCTGTGTGTTACGTAACATCTATGCAACAGAAAATATTGAAAGCCAGTGTGCAAACTTTCTCTTTTTGCCCTCAAGTTAGAATACACAGCACACCAGCACATTAGCATTATGTACAGTCATAATGCAATGCACACTTCCTTCAGTTTAGATGAGTATTAATAATATATTGCAACAGCTTCTCAGCAAGCATCAAATATCCGGTTCCATGTCAGTTGACTTAAAATAATTCATCAAGTCTCTCTTAATCTGTAACCTATTTTGCTGCAATGATCACCCTGAAAGCAAAATGTTCCAACTGCTACATTTATAAAGGCCAAGGTATTTTGCATTTTAGTTGTACTTCAGCATGGCCAAGAGACTGATTAACTGAGGGTGAGATCACAGGGATGCCACAGGACAAGGCTAGGCCAGCATCCCCCCTAATACATACCACAGTTCAGCCCATTCCACAAGATGATCTGACTCCCTGTATATAATTTTCAGTGGTCTGGATGGAATAGAAGTCCACTTGTGACAGTGCAGTTGTTCCAGCATGGATCTGGATTTTTTTAATAACTATGCTACTAGCTAGGCAAATAATTAACAGCAATGGCTAGACTGGCAGAGGAAAGAACATATTGTAGGATTTTGTCAAGGTCACATCAAGCCCTATGGCTGCAAGATCAAGCTGGGTGAAAACAACTTATTTTAGAAGGCAATTCCCTATCAGTTATTAGCAAACTAGAGCTGTTTTTCCCACCCTTTTTAAATCCTCACTTTCTGGGTTGTATCTAGATTTAGTCATACTTAGAGCAGAAGCTGTGAAAACAGGAATTTAGTTATGGCTAACTCAAGTCCCACTGGATGACCAAGTCTGGATTCAACCCCCCAATCTATGCATAGCATAGCAGAATTTGCTTGCAGAAACTCACACATGAGCTGACTTTTGCTACAACTATCCTGAAAAGTGGGCTATGAATCTATTAAAGCAATATGCTACTTATCTTCTGACCAGTTGATAGTCCTTCCTTAGAAGAACCCTGCCATAAGGGCCAGTATTATTTTTATATTGCAGAGAACTAAACATCCATCTGTATAATGAAGCACACGCATTATTAACTCCCCTCACACTTCCACCATCTCCAGAAAAGTGACTACCCTATCTCTGTTGGTAGCTTCATATCTTGCTAGTCTCTGAAGTCAAAGCTGACATGTTTTTGCTGGCCAAATGGCTACCTACTCCAGAGACTTCAAAACCACTGAATCAAAGGGCTGAGGTAAGCTTCAGTCCTGTAACTCATAGGCAGTGGGAGAAATCTCCAATTCTGTGAATAATCTAAAGCTAAACCAATAAAGAACATTGCTTACATGCCACAGGCTGAAATTTGCAGAATGCAAAGCAACCTTTTTTCAGGATGCTGAATAGGGGTAGAAGCAATGTGTGGAAGGAACTAGGTCACCACTTATTCAGGCCCCCGATCCCCATATTTTGAAAAGCTCGCTGTGTCCAGAGCCAACACATGCACAACTTGTGCGCATGCAGGCTCTGAGGATGTGATTGGGGAGACAGGCCTCCCATCACACAAAGAGCACCTTGATACATACAAACCACTCGTGTGTTGGTCTCTGGACACAGAGAGCTAATAAGCAGGTGGTGCACAGCGATAGCAGACATAATCCCATTTTTGTTGTATGCATTCAATTCAACACCTATTGAGAGTACCTGAATTGGTTAGAACATTTACAGTTGTTAATTTGGAGTCCCTCAGAAGGAACAGTCAGGATTCCCTACTTTTAATAAAGGAGGTGCAAAGGCAGTTTTGCCTAAGATCACCTAGTGAGCTTGGTAGAGCTGAGAGTTGAATCAAGAGTTCTTTGAAGCTCATCATTCTTAACCACTGTCTGTGTCCAAGTGTAAATTCAAAATCCTGCTAGGAGTAGCACTCCCATGATCATCCATACCCAGGGAGCTCTCAGGATGCAAACCCCAATTAATAAACAAATAATAGTTTGTGCCATGATAACCAGAACATCTGATCAGCCAACCAAAGCACATGGTTTATTCCCCACTGTTAATAAAGCATAGGAGCCAATCGGCTGCTGGTTAGAAAGCAATCTACCACCCCCTTCGCTTCCTCCTTTTTCACCTCTCTTAGATGTTCCCTTTTAAGAAGATATTACATAATGCAAACATTTAAACTTGCCTTTTCTAAGAGCTTTTTTATGTTAAACTGTTTGACATTTTCTAGTTGAACTCTCAGCATTCTCGGCATGAACTATTTCTTCCCCACAGCATAAATATTGCATACCCACAGTTTACAAGGCCCTGAATTCCGGGTTCATGATAGTATTTTGCTTCCTTTGATGAAATATCTCAGCATGTTATTGTTCAAGGAGCTAAGGATGCCACAGTATTTACTTGCTTTTTACCAAATATGAATTGGGGTGGGGGAGAAATAGAGGCCACTGCAGTAAAAACAGACTTCTGCATGTAAGCCAGTATGACTGAGGCAACAAATGGAACTTGATGCAACAGCTTGTGTTTTGGCACAAGTTGATCAAAGCCAGGTCAAGTGTATTAATAGCAGCATGGTGCCAAAGGCTTGGAAGCCAATGTCATTTTACTCTGCATAAGCCTCATCAATAAACATTATTCTTCAGTACTGCAGATTGTAGCTTCTCTTTCTTCCCTCTATATTTTCCCCAGACTGCAAAAGGACAGATATAAACCAGTTCATTTTTCTGAACAATTCACTTAAGAAAACAAAGAGAATCTTCACTGTTTGCATATATAAAGTTTACAGGCAACCACATCCCAAAGGAGATGACTAAAAAAAGTCTCTTACACTTTTTCAGCAAGCAGTTCATTGACTGTACCTAACTACAAATACAGGTTACACCCCACTGGAAATGTAGTGGCGGGCAGACTTTTAGGTTTGCTAAATGTACTTTAGTTTTCTCTAGATCCCTGAACTGCCTTCTGCCTAGTCCATACTACACAATTAAACCAAGTCCCTTCACTCTACCCTCTTCCATTATTCAAAAGCTTACTTGCATGAATAGTTCGTGATTCTTGTCAAACTGTCATCTTTGGTCCCTCCACACAAATGATTCTCTTTCCTAGAATTATGTATGGTCTTTATAGCTTTTCCACAGAAGCTACATCAACAGCTAAATGACAAACAAGGCAAGAGAAGGAACTGCCCAATGCAGTAAATCTGAATTCACAATCTCTTACTATTTCTCTGTGGTATAAAATGTGTCACAGAAGACTCATTAAACAGTGCAGTAAGCTACCTTCTATAGCAAACACCATCTGCTAGTCATATATCTGTGAACAGCCAAAAAATAGCAATTTGAGCTGCCTCTTCCCATCATTCCTGAAACAAGGGAACTGTT